GTTTTTTTTTTTTGGATTTTTTCGATTTATTATGTTAGGATAGACAAAGACAAATCCAATAGAGCAAAAATCATAAAAATCAGTCCAGCCGTTCTCGAGTTATAAGTGCTTCCACAAAACATAACTGTGTTTTATATATAGATGACAAGAGAAACTATAGTATATTTCCTAACTAGTACGGAAAGTACCACTTTTCCACATGCGATTCAGCGGAGTTCGGCAAGCAATTAAGTGCGGAAAAGAGACTTTCTGCACTAAATCATTGTCCAATGTCCACAATGCGATGTAAAAGAAGTATTAAACTAATGTATTAGCATCCCCAGCTTCCAAAAATTTTTGGGATCTGTCCTCAACTTATAATTTAGATAGGCTATTACATGCTATTACTAACATTATAAAAGTGAAGTGTTGGATTATTTGAATACAACAAAAATAAATCCTATTGCATATTATAAAAAATAAAGGTATTTACGATTGGGTAAATAGGTAGGTACTTCTTTGTTAAACACGTACATTCAAAATAGAGTCTCCAAAGAGACAATCTAATATATAAAATTCTCATGTCACAGTTTTAGTTACCTTGCTCCTCCGAAACGGCTTTACCGATTTTTATGAAATTTTATATGTATATTCGCTAGATCTGAGAATAGGTCTTAAGCTATTTTTGCTGATACGGGTGGTGCACCCCAAAAATTTTAAATTTTATTTTGCTTCTCACCACTACATAACGCAACTTATTTTTGTTTGCGCATTCAACCGACGTAACAGTATTATCTTATAGTATTTTCGGCTTTACTGCTCCCAGAGCGCTCTCTATTTGGGCGGTGATGTCACAGATCTCTGCGGAAGTGCTCCGAGAGCGATTATGATCCAAGCAGCGAGGGCACCCTTTTGAAATCAATAGCCGAACGTACTTTAATTGTTTTGTTTTGATCAATCATTGATCTATCGAATTTGACGGAGCAAGGAATAGCGCTCCGTGCGAGATTTGAGAGCGATTATTGCTCAAGTCGACCACGTGAATCCGTTTCGGATCGCTTTTTGATCAATCGCGAGTAGTTTTGAGACAAAAGTCGAAAGCGCTATTATTATATATTATATATATCTTCTATTGTCAGATTGCGCGGTCCTTTTCTTTCATTACATACCATTCACAGTACAGTGGCTAAATAAACCTTTACATACAGTGGCGACAATAGAGGTCCCGCCGCCATCTTGCTCCCAACCTCTTGTTACTTTTAAATATTAATATATAGGATTTAAATGGACATCTATCATAAAAAATTGAAATTGACGTATTTGATGACCATTATTAGGTCCATCAAATACGTTGTTTTCCATGATTTTGATGGATGTTCACCCAAATCCCATATATTCATATTTAAAAGTAACAAGGGGTTGGGAACAAGATGGCGGCATTTTCAATATAAATATATGGGATTTTTGAACCAATCAAAAATAAGACAGCAATTGTCGCCACTGTGGGTTATAGAGTCACTGTAATTCACAGTGGCGACAACTGCTGCCTTATTTTTGATTGGTTCTTCAAAGTCCTATATATTCATATGGAAAACGCCGCCATTTTGTGCCCTACCTCTTGCTACTTTTAAATATGAATATATAGGATTTAAATGGACATCCATCATAAAAAATTGAAAACAACTATTATGAGGTACATCGAATACGTTGTTTTCAATTTTTTTATGATGGATGTCCATTTAAATCCTATATATTCATATTTAAAAGTAGCAAGAGGTAGGGCACAAAATGGCGGCGAGAGCTCTATTGTCGCCACTGTAGATAAGGCTTATTTAGTCATTATTGTAATAACATTTGCACTGTAATATCATTCCGTATATGACGCCAAGTATGATACATGATAGAAACCTTCATTTAGTTTTCGATCCCGGAAAGGGTGAGTACAAATTTGTGAATATTGTGATAGGTTATGTTTATGTTATTTTATTATTGAATCAGTGGTGTTTGACGATTCAGATGATTTTTTTGTTTTCTTTACATTCTTTGAACATTCCTGTGCCTGAGTTTATTTATTTGGTGGTACACTTTACAAGAATAATGCCCACAAGGTGCCTAAAAAGGGATGATGTAAAATTTTAATTTTAGGTGATTTCTGATCCAGAGAGTAAACATCAATTTTCCTCAACCAAGGCCAAATTCACCATCGAAAAAAACTGAATTTAATTCAGCTACTAGATACGTTAACACAACATTTAATAGGTATTTAATGATTCAGAGGCGGTACGAAGTTCCCCGGGTCAGTTAGTAAATAAATAAAATATGTTGATAAGTCTAGTCTAGACCGAACGACCTTTTATTATTATATCCTTATTGACCCTATTCCTATTGTACCTATAAACAATGCTATAATGAATAAGATGTTATAAAATTAGGTAGAAAAGATGGTTTGGTAGGGAGGTGCCTATATATTTATAGTTGGTGTTACGTTACCTTTTTGCGCGGAATTAAAGATTCTATAAAAAAACATTATCTTGTTTCAATTGTTGTCCTAATATCCTATTTCCAATATGAAGTAATTATACTACCTAACTAAATTATTTCCAAATTTATTTGAAGGCACTGGTATGTGTACCAGGACCGATTCTTATACCTCTAATTGAGAAGGTTCGACAAGAATTAAATAGATTAGTGGATGATGTTAGGGAGATCTTTTCCTAAAGGGCCTTGTGACAAAACTGCACCGATGGCAAAAGCGCTTGGGTCGGTGGTTAATAGAAATGTCTGTTCGGAATTGGGATAGATCAGAATCGGGTCCAGAAACTGGTGCGTTTTTCAATTCGTTGAATGCGGATATGCATTCTGGGTTAAAGTGAAATAGAACATCTTTCTGGAGGAGTTTTGTCAAGGGCTTTGATGTTTTAGCAAAATTGGGGATAAATCGGGTTCCGTTTACAACTAATTTTTGCAGGGTTCGGTTTTACACCGTCTTGAGTGATAAGGTGTCCCAGGTGAACTACTTCTTTTCGAAGAAACTCACATTTGTCCGGCTGGATTTTTAAGTTAGCTTTACGGAAACTTCGGTTAGCCTTGAAATATGTTCGTGGATGGTAGGAGAGTAAACGATTATATCGTCCATGTAGACTAAGCATCTTTCGTTTTGAATACCGAGGAGAATATTGTCTATGACTCTTTGGAATGTGGACGGGGCATTTTCCAATCCAAATGGCATACGTATGAATTCGTAATGGCCATTTTCTACGGAAAAAGCGGTTTTCGAAACATCCTTGAGATCTACTTCTATTTATTGAGCCTAGGTTAAGGGTAGTAAAATATTGACATTTTCCCAATTGATCCAGAAGATTCGAAGTTAGAATTGTTAAATCTTAGAATGGTTTTTTGACTTCCACTTTCTCACTTTCTGAGACAAATGGTTCGATAGACAAGTTCGAAAACTCCACCTTTTTTATAGCGTTAATATTTACAATTGAGGTTAAAAATTCACCTTGTTCATTGACTTTTACTAAAGCATAAGGTAATTTGATTCTTTCTTTTTCTTGAGAACCGAGTGTGATAGATTACACTTGAGTTTAAAGATCTTTTCACTTCTAGCTTCTATAGATATTTTGTTAATTAGGGTAGTCATTGTCAGTAACTTTATGAAGAGGGAGTACAAGTACCAAAATAATATAAATGATCAATTTCATCTAATATCCTATGATTACAGCAAATAAATACATTAAGGGGGAAACACTCCAATAGCGTTCGAGAGGCATAGGCTATGATGGAATAATTGAAAAAGTAGACCAACCTAACTATTGGTGTTCACCTATTGGTGGTTGCTAAAAAAAGGTGACAAAATACGAATGTGTATGTATAGATTATCCAAATCTAAACAAATTTGTTAAAGAGAACTTTGTCAGTTACCATCAGTTGAAGGGACGTTAGCCAAAAAAGAAGATGGAATTTTGTATTCACCAGTTAAAACTTCATGTGTCTTGAACTTTGGACAACTTTTATGAGCACTTTCAGCAGATATGCTTATTAAACTTGTCCATTTAGAATAGGTATGTTCTTTGCCAGAAATTTTTTAGAAAAATCAAGTCATAGAGGGCTGTATAGTTAATTCTGCAACATATGATGCATTTTGCTTGTAAAATGAATATTTGGTTATTATAAGTATCGCACTAGAAGTAACATTAATACATACGTACTTAATTATACCATATTTAAAAAAAAAACTGACATTTTCAAATTACCCATTAATTATGGTTATAATTTATTCAACAAAATTGCATTAAATGAATCCTAAATGATAAATGTCATTTTGATTAAATAAATTGGAAGTACAAGTTATTAATATTTGCATAAGAAAAGGCTGTTTTGATTGATTGATAGTGAAGGGCCATGATATAGACTGCGTTCTTATTATTTTTTTTTGGCAATCTTGATTGTTGTCATCTCATAGCCTGGCCTGGAAATGTATCAGAAATGCCGTATCCATAATATTTGTTTGAAAATTGTAATGTTTCAATAATGGACGGATTTCATTGGCTTTTGGTTTATTGATTACCTATCTGCCAATGAACTTTATCTGTGGTCCTTATTAAACGAATGGCAATATTTCCTAAACCTATGTTGCTAATGAATGTGAATTTTCTAGAACCCATTACTTATTACATCGATTTCTTAGAATTACTTTATTAGTGAGCTATTTATTATGAAAATAATGACATATAGGTAAGGTTGACTTATTCTAAAACCTTGATAATGTCAGCAGATAAAAGACAATCGAAACTACTCTACAAGTTACTAACAAAGAGAAAGAACAGGTCGAAAGTATTTGAATCTTTTTTCGAATTTTGAGTCTTTCGAAGCTACCGGGTGTTGAATAAGTTAAATTCGACCAAATTCGAGGCACCATGTGCTCATTTGTTGCAATAAGAAAATGAACTGAAAATATTCGATGCCACACATAGAATAAGGTATTTACAAATAAAAGCTTATAGTTGAAAATGTCTTACTTAAAACTTTTAACATCAATATCCACCATTCCGTGCATCCAAACATCTTCATATTTCTGATTCAATTTGACAGATTTGCCTGGATCTGCAGTGATTTCCAATTTTTCTACGTGGAACGGATTTAATGGGGGAAATCCTAAGTCTTTATAACCTAGATAATGTGAAAAGGTAGCAATAGTTTCAGTTTTTATTTGTGTTCCAAATATGACTACGTACCATCTTTGAAAAGCATCAAAGTTTCTTTTATACTTTTCTCCATGCATTGAGAGTCTGATTTGCGACATTTGGTTATTTCTGGTGCTGAAATTAAAATTTGATTTATATTTGGATGAACCTATTTATTTTTCATTTAGAGGCTTGATGCAAAAAGGGAAAACTATAGATACTTATTGACTGAAAATGAAGTCTACCTATCATAGAAATAAATAGAAAGAAAATTTAGAAAAATAATATCAAAAATTAACCTCTATAATTCTAATTTAAAAACCAAAAGCAAAAATTATCCTAAAACTTGAAATATGGAGCTTATTAAAGTAAAATTAACATGATTAATAAGTAAAAAAAAATTGTGAACCACCCAACAATAACCACAAAATATGATTTTTTTTCTTCTTTTTTGATGAAAGTAATTTTGTTAATAAATAATATAAGCCTTACGTAGTTGTACAGCCCCAAAAACGTCAGATGCGCTCAATAAAATGAGGGCTGCTGCAATTATTCGTAACATCTTGACACGTAAACCTGTTGCGGTAAACTGAAAAGTTTTTTAATTAATCTCCAAAGTGCTGGATATTAAACACAATTAAATACCAATTAACGAAAAAAAAAAAAAAAATGCAACAGAGGTATAGATACAGGTTTTCAGTAGCGCAACAGATAACGTCATCTATTTTATTCATTTATTCAATGATGGGAAAAACCCATTAGCTACAATTAACAAAGAATTTTATAGTTATGTTAATAGATTGCTAAGCAATATAGTGCAGCAGAGCAGCTTAGCTAGGATATTACAACATATTGTGCACTTTTTGATAAAGGCACCAAACTTGGCACAGAGGTAGACCGATGTAATATGAACAAATTTGGATGTGTAGCCATCGGTCAACTGCCCCCCGACGGCCGTGGCGGCGGTTTTCCAAAATGGCCGTCAGTGGACACCCCCAAAGGCAACGAAAGTTAGATAAAGTTTACTGCCGAAGGTTTTAGTGAATGTTTATTGATTGTTTTCACCCTCTGAATGTCAACCCCTGAGCGGGGGAGACGGTGACAAGTACTGGAAAATTTTCAAATGGAAAGGGGGTTCAAGTGATACAATGTACTATTTCCTAACTTTGACAAGCCGCCATTTCAGCAGGGTAAATAGTAGCAACTTGAAATTTCGAGCATATAATCTCAATAAAAATTGCTATCAAATGACGTATCACTCGACCTCTATTTGAAATTCTGGGGGTACCTGTCATCCCCGCTTAGGGGTTGACAGATAGGGGGTGAAAATACCAATAAAATAGTCCACCTATATTGTAAATGGATATAAGAACTTCATTGCTATTCAAAATTTAATGAAAATAAAGGTGTTTTCAAAAGTGGTTTTATTTCGTTTTCACTAGTTTTATACAGGGTGTATATTTCAAGTGAAACCACTATTGCTATATCCGAAACAGAAAGAGCTACAAGGTCGGTTAAATTGGAAAAAAAGATGCCTTTTTTTGAAGCTCGTTCAATATTCGTTTACAGTGTTGCCAAATTCCTTATGAATTACAGGGTGATTTCTAAGAAACGCCTAAAAATATTTCATTTAAATTTGAAAGTTTTATAATTTTTTTCGGTCTACAACATGGTACCTGGCATCTTCAAATTTTAAATCCGACGTTTCGTGATCGAGCTACCATCATCAAATTAATTTTTTTAAATACGGACCTGATTTGTGAGGTAATTACCTTAAAAAACTTCCTAACAATTTTAATTGCCAACGAAAGCTCAGACCAATCAGTGTAGTTCAACGCCGGTAGGGGCCCTCGGAGTAATTGTTTCTGACTGGTCAACGAAGCTCAATTCAATAATCAATAATTTAAGTCAATCATAAAAGTTTAAATTAGGTACCGCCCTTTGTCCTTGTGCTAAAACTTTAATTCCACACACCACATTCGATCAACACTACCAATATTCAATACTGAAGAGTTTTTGGTTAGTTATCTGGTCTGCCAGAGGTCCCATACGGGATTCTACTCAGCTATAGTTGTTATTTTGAGCCAATATCTCTTTCCATTTGTTTGGTAGTAGGATATTCGCTCGTCAGGGTAGGAAAATGTTAGTGTATTCAACAAGGCCCTAATGTACGCTCTGAATACCAAAAATCAAAATCCCAGCACAAAAGACAGTACATATACTTTTTTTTTATCTGCGTTGTTTACAGCATGAAACGATTTTTTTCAAATACATGAACAATGCACGCTATAAAAAAAATGTTATAAACAAACAAAAAACATAAAAATGAAAAAAAAAATATATATATGACTTGTATAAATTGAACTATCAAAAACAAAATAACAATAAGGGTGTTGGTATTTTCGCCCCATAATAATTAAAAGACGATAAAGTATAAAAGTATTTGGTATTTTCCCCCCAGTTCAGAACTAAACCAAAATAAATTTTAGTAATTTCGCCTCACGCTACCTGAAGTATTAGGGGAGGCAATTAATTGTCGATTAATTTTTGCAATGTTATATAGCCACATAGGAATGTTCCTTGTTGTTAGTTTGATTCACAGTGATTGAAGAAAGTTCATCTATGTTTCCCAACGTATAAACTATGGAGTTACACTGCCTCTCTACGCATTTCCACATTTTCTCATCACTACTTTTTAATACTCTATAAAAACTGTACTTAAAATCGTTCATAAATAGTATATTACAATCCGAGACGGGAAATGCTTCATTACTGGTCGAGAGGTTTTATAGTTTATCGAGACGCGTAGCGTCGAGATAAACTAAACCTTGAGACAGCAATGAAGTTTCCCGTCGAGGGTTGCATACTATTTTATTTTTAACCATAATTTCTTGAAAAAAAAAAAAATTCGGAGCAACCAAATGAGGTCGGCAAATGAAGAGGAAAATGAGAACGGGAAATATTTCCCTGCTCCATTTTCCGTCCGTGGACGGGAAATGAGGACGGAAAAAATTTCCCGTGGTTTTTACCGAGGTATGTATACTATTTTATTTACAATCATTCGAATTTTGAAAGTTTCATTTGGATTAAAACTCAAAAATACAATAATTAACAATTTCATTTACTTTCGGGGCCGAAAGTAAGAGTCAAAAAATACAATAAATTTTAAAAATTTCTTTAATTTCGGCCCACGGGTCGAAAGTAAACTTTCGACCCGTGGGCCGAAAGTAAAAGTCAAAAAAGTGACATTTTCGAACTTTTTAAAAGTCAGTAAAGTCAACATTACATGTATGATTGTAAATAAAAGCATTTGCTTTCCTCGGTTGCTGGTTATTACTTTAATTTTACTGTCATTTCCATAGTCAAGAATTTTTACTATATTTCCGTATAGTGAACCACTGATACTCCGATATTCTTTGTTCTTTGACAGAGTTCAAATAAGAATGAATTTCTATCTTTGACAGCTTTTAAATAACAATGAATTTGTATGAAATAGAAGGTAGTACTTAATAAAATCATACACCAGTTTAGGAAATTCCACCCCCAGATTAAAGAAAAGACATAGTGTAATTGTTTATTTATTTATAATAGGTACCTGAGCATCCTTTCTCTAAGTGACCATCATAAAGTAAGGGTGTTTGGGGCGAATTTACCTGTACCCAACAATAACTATTCAAGTGACCTGTGAAGACTCCTTATGACACACAAACTAATCACAAATTGGATTGAACAATCAGTTTAATACAAAATAAAAATTAAATAATGAACAATGGCGGACAAGACAAGCTTGTTCCCTTTTGCCTCTCAATTTCTGTCGGTCTACCCTTTCGTTACCGTTCCTTGTGGCGCGCCTTCGTTCAACCCTAAAATTGACGACGCATACATGGTTGCAACATTTATTTTTATTTAGTAAACGTCTTGTAGCAAAACGCACCCAAGTACTCTTTTCAATTAGTTAGATGGTAAATGACGAGCGGTATATTGATGGTGTTTATTTCCTTGAGCGGCTACCTATAAAATAGTGGAGGGGGTCTTTTCGCAAAAGAGAGAAACAAACTATTGAGGTTTACTAAATTATATTTTATTATACTGACACCCAACATTAAAATAAAGCAAATATCTTTTTATATCTGACAGCCACTTCTATTTTTTCCAAATCAAGTTATTTCACATCCGTTCAAATTTCATTACTACGGACCAGGAAATATCCATACTAAAAACGCTCTACTTCTTCTATTCTCAATAACTTATAAGTTTATACATTTACTCTTTTAAACAACACTTCCGATTGACATTCCTATTTAAACTACCCTTTACCTATATCTATAAATTCTTAAAACTCCCAAGTCATTTACTGACAGCTTATGCAAAAAAAAAAAAAAACTAATTCATAATTTCAGCACTTAGAGTCATCAATGGTACTTCATGAACAACAATTTTCAAATAAAACTTTCCAATACATTCAGTGGTTCCCATCCTTCACTAAGGATCATTTTGAACAGAACAATTACTATTTTCGGATTCCTAGCCAACAAACACAATTCTTTAAATTCTTATTAGTTCGTTACTATAGCACTTAAACTTCAATTGGACAATCCAATTCAACATTCTTTAATAATTCCTACTCAAAATCGAATATTGTTAAGAGCATTATAATTTTCCTTTGTTAATTCTTTGCAAAATTAATTAAAATATCATTATACTCGAAGGCAATTAAAGTTATACAATAAAGCTTTTACAGTCAAATCACTCAAGTTTTTATGCATTAAAGTTCAATGTCAATTCACTTCTTATCATTCATCATTTATAAAGTCAAAAAGTTTTACTAGTCACTAGAGTACCTGCATTTAACTTTTCACTCGTAAAATTACTGAATTAATTTACTTCAAAAATCTCTAGAGCTCGCACATAATGTTGAATGACTAAATGTTATTTCTTTCACAATTTTCCGTTACTTTTTCAAAGACTTAACGCGTTTTCCCGAGACAACAAAATAAAAGAAATTCTTCGCGAATTTTAACCGGACTGACTCATTAGGTACTGTAGAATTAACTTGAACTGGACTAAACTTAAAACTGAACTGATTCTTCTAAAACCGCTGTATTTATATTATTCGATCCCCCAAAATTTCTTTGTGCATCATTCATTAACGTTTTTTTGTTATTTGTTTAAAATCGAATAATTATGTCGCAATTTCCTGGTTTATCGGGGTCAACAGATTTGGTTTAAGAATGTGAGGACAACACAAAGAAAGTCGAAAAATACGTGCGGCCATAAATCACCTATTTAATTAATTTGGCCTCGCTTTTACTATTTTTATGAATTTGATTTAGGTGATGACATCACGCATGGTGATTAAATAATAAAATTTTGAACGTGTATAAATATTTTAATTAATTTGGGGTCAACGTTATTTTGTTCCATTTTCAATTTGTTGATACTGATTTGAAATACAGGAAATTCAGTTTTTGATTATTTGATTACATTTAATTTTTACAGCAAAGACATTGTAAATTACGGGTCTATTTTCCCAGGTCATTACAGTCTTAAGAATATAAGATTTGAAGAAACAATATTTTGAATAGGTAGTTTTCCTGAATTTGGTGATCAAAGCGATCGAACGCTTTGGAAAAGTCCGTATATATTGCATCAACTTGTTTAAATTCCTCTAAAGGTTTAGTAATTCCATTTTGGTATGTGAGCAAATTAGTGACAGTTGAACCGCCAGGACAGAAGCCATGTTGATTTTTATGAATTAAATTGCTGCATATCCATTTTATTTGATCACTCAATAAGCTACCAAATAACTTGGGTAAAAACGATTGGATGCACACGCTTCTGTAATTGCTTATGTTATTCTTTTCATAAGGATTGGCACAATAATGCTTTCCTTGCATATGCCTGGAAAAATTGAACACTGCACCAAACAGAAGGTGTAACTATAGAATAAATACAGTTTTTCAATAAGTTGTTAGGAATTCCATCGGGACCCAAAGTCTTTTTACAAGGAAGATTGACAATCTTATTAAAAATCTCCCCTCTATAGATATACCGAGTGACAACGAAATCGTTACACAAGGCGTCATTCAGTTGTCTTTAAATTTAAAAATTTGAAAATCGGGTGGAACAGGTAAGTCATTGAGACGCATACTTTTCATAAAAAAACAATTGAATATCACTTCCGGTTACTTTGGAAATGGACCCAAGTCTAGAAATTTTTACGGAACCCTGTATATTTTTTTACACAGTTGGATAGAGCTTAAAATTCCCTTTTCAATGACATTTGATAAGTGGAATTTGTTTTTAAGATGGCGGCGTGAGAAGGTACTTTCTTAAATTCAATATGGCGGCATTCTGACCTAACCTTTGAATCCCTAACCGAAAAATGAATATGCATTTTGGTAGACATTTTTCGGTAGGCCATTGGACACACTTTAATTCTAGAATTTAATAAGTAGGTACCTCTTACTATTCAAAATTTTTAGAAAATTTGAAACTAAAATTTGCATTTCAAAGAAATTTTGAAATGCCCTTGTTTTTGAGCAAAATCTTTTTTTTTTTCAAATTCGATTTAAAACCATTTCAAATCCAAAAATTATGGATTGTTAAAAGTGTTTGTTTGACAGAAACATTATCGGTTACGTCAGAATGCCGCCATATTGAATTTAAGAAAAATACCTTCTTACGCCGCCATCTTGGAAACAAATGCAAGTTGTGATATGTCATTGGAAAGGAAATTTTAAGCTCTATCCAACTGTGTAAAAAAATATATATGGTTCCATAAAAATTTCTTGACTTGGGTCCATTTCCGGAGTAACCGGAAGTGATATTCAATTGTTTTTTTACGAAAAATGTGCGTCTCAATGACTTACCCGTTCCACCCAATTTTCAAATTTTTAACTTTAAAGACAACTGAATGACGCCTTGTATAACGGGGCGGCCTCGAATTGCGCACTCTATACCTGGGTCCTATCTATTTTAACACGAACTGCGCACTGTACCAAAGAGGCCCCAAATTCACAGTACTCGAATTGCGCACCCAGAGATTATGTTAATTAGGTTTTATAAAAATAATATGGCAGTAAAGCTTACCCATGTGTGCGGTTGGAAAGCTGCATTTTCGCTAATGTAAGTATTTATCAAATAATCGGAGTATTTGATTAATCTCGGGTCCACGAGTTGTATACTAAATAGGTCCAGTACAATACAGTCCGAAACTTCTTCGTGATTCAGAAATGGCAGACCAAATGTATAATTCAACCATTATCCAACATCGCTCTCAGCGTTTCTATATTCTATCACTAAACCTAGTTCCTGAATTTTTCTAAACCAACTTTGTGATAAGTGAAAGCGGCAAACTATCAAATTTATGAGGCCAATTAAACAGTAGAGCATTATGTATACTTGTATAAAATGATTTAAACAATAGCTAAATGTTGCATCTTAGTACACTTTATCCACACTACACAGAAACTTGAGATTTAATTCACAAGTATGATAATACTCTTTTCTTCGCTGCAAATAGTTATAGAGTTTTCACTTTTGATAGTTTTGCAAGAAAAGTTTTTAAAAATTCCAATTATCAACATTTAAACCGGACCATCCATTAGGGTATTCATAAAATTACCTGCAATCGCACCAGTGCGCAATTCGTGGTGAGTATTCTTGACCTGAAGATTCTCAGAAAGGTTTTCAGGTACATCAACAAAATCATCTAACTGCTGATCAGATATAAATTAATTATCTACATTTACCAAATATCAACTCACGAATTTTTTTACATTCTGAACGTAATCTTGCAAATTTCTGGTAATCATAGCAAGATTTTGACTCTATATAAGCTTTATGTACCTACCTCTCTTGTTTGAATAATAATACGCCTCAGTTCATTGTCACCGGTAAATATAACATCCAAAAATACATTCCTATTGTTAGGGATAGATATCATTTGATACAGATGTAGGTAACCAAACAATTGTGCTAAGTGAAGGGTAAACGAAGTTCCAGGACAATCAACTTGCAAACCAAACTCATCATTAGACCAAGCTGCTATTTTCTGAGATGGGATGGGTTCTCAACTGCTTCACAGTGTGATGTATAGGGTGATTCAGTTTGAGATTACAAATTAAATATGGCAACACTGGTTTGCTGGCAGCCATATATGGCTGAAACTTGACATGTGTCATAAGTGAGAATTGACATTTACGAATATGGAGCGGTTTTCAACACAAGACCCTATTTCAATTATTGTTGGAACCTACTTCCGAAATGGAGAAAATGTAACTAAGGCGATTCGTGCATTACGAAATGACTTCGGTAACCATAACCGTCCATCTCGTGCCTCGGATAACAAATTGTGTGATGTTCAAATACCAATACGTCCTTGCAGTTGTCGATCAATCGAAAATTTTGCTGAAGTGAGAAACAGTGTACGTGACAATTCGTGTTAGTTACATTTTCTCCATTTCGGAAATAGGTTTTACCAAATAAAATGCGTTCATGTGTTGAATACCGCTCCATATTCGTAAATGTCAATAATCACTTATGACACATGTCAAATTTCAGCCATATATGGCTGCCAGCAAACCAATGTTGCCATATTTGAATTGTTACCTCAAACTGAATCACCCTATATAATCTAGAGGTGGTGTTATAGTTATAAAACATTCATACTTTAAAACATGCTTCGAGCATGCATATATTCCATGGTTGCGATTTAACAGGCTTTTTTCAAGTAGGTTGTAATTTGGAAAATAAATTATTCGCTGCGAAAGGCTTAAAGGTCTAAAAATGTGGAAGTTATTACTCCTTTCAAGTTCTGCCACTGCCTAATCTACATAATTGAAAATAAAACACCCTACCTTATGATTAAAATAATAGGTAGGTAATTCCCTTTGTGTATTACCTTCATGATCATTACACGTGTAAAAAAACTAATTACACAAGGATACAATGAAAACAAAGTTCAAACGCGCACTAAAGTACAAAAATGTATTGTTTGTTTTTATTACTCACACCTAATTTATGACGAATATTTAATTTTTCTCTAAATTGTTTAAACGTAGGTATTTACTAAACTACAAAATTATTCCACCAGAGAATACCTAATTGTTGTTTATCTGTAATATATATTTTTTTTTAAATCAGCAAATTAATTTAATGACTTTTTTTGTCTCTTGACCTATGGAGCCAAACTGGTCCCCTCACTTCTAAATCATCTAGAATCTTTCACCCTGCTTCCAAGAGAAAGTGTTTTTTTTTCAAAATACTTTTTCTAAAATGTTGCCCATTATCAGTAAGTGTAGTAGATAGATAGATAGATTTAAGACAATAAATACTGCTGCTGTACGTCATCAATTACATGTAAAAAAAAAACAATTAAAAAGCAATATCAAAATAAAATGAATAAATAAAAAAAACGCTGTGTCTAGCCTCCCGGCACCGGTATTCATACGAATCCCGGTTATGACGCGTTTTCGATGACTCCATCAACGACCGCCGGGATTTATCGTGGATCCCGGCAATTGGATTCAAAATTCAAAGTCGTGTTTCTCTTGCTGCTTGAAGCTGTGATTAATTCCGGAATAGCTTTTGTGTATTATTGTTTCTTGTTGTGATATTGGTATTAGAGTGGTAAGTAGGTACTACGTTAATCCACTTTTCGTAGTGGTGGTTTAAAAAGGGAATAGTATGGTTTATTTTCATCCATTATTCAGGACTATAGCTTTTTTAATAGCTTGTAGGTATCTCTGAAATAGGGTACTCTTGGACCCATGCTTATAGGAGTTTTTGCTCTTAATTTGAGATGTAGAATCCGCAGTTAAAATATTAAACTCTTATTTTGGGGCACCCTGTGTAATGTTGCTGAACATTAACGGCGTTGCTGTACAAGATCAAATGCTGAACAAACTTTCAAAATGACCCTGTACCTACATATAATAAAAAGTCATAATTTTATTTTCCATTAATAAAAGCTCATCTTTGTTTACTTTTTCGAATAATAAATCTGCCCCAATACCAATGAACATAATAATTATTAACATCTTGTATAGCACTAGCCGGGATCCACGAAAGTTACCGGTTGTTGTTGATGACGTCATTCAAAACGCGCCATAGCCGGGATTCGTATGAATACCTACCGTTACCGGGAGGCTAGACACAGCGTAAAAAAAAACACAGACACAAGTTACAATATAAAAGATATTCATAGACAAAGTCCTTAGGTAACATTGTATTTGTCATGTATTCGTTGAAACTATAATTGTTCCGTTGTCTGATTTCTCTGACTTGCGATAGTAGCCTCTTCTAAACCAGTTTTCCCATGTGTAAGAATGTATTTTTGGTCAGGGTAAGGCGGAATGAAGGGATCTGGAGGTCATGCATCTGGCGAGTTCTATAAGGGTGTGTATCTGTGCGTCGTTCTGTGTCATTTCGGTGTTTATGCCAGTATCTAATGTTTTTAAAGATGCAAAGGTCGTAGAAAGTCAGTATTTTCAGTGAAGAATGCATTGCAATGGATTCTCTGACTGTATATTCCTTTGAGCCAGCGAACTGCTATTTCCTGTAATAAGAATATCGTTTCTATATTTACTGATGTGGAGAGATCCCAATAGCGAATTCCATATCGCATGTGGCTTTCGAAAAGATAGTTGCCAAGGCCGGTCCAAGATTTTTCCAGGAAGTGTTTATTGCAAATAGTCCCGATGATAGTTTCTTTGCCACAGCTGCTACATGTACATCTCATTTGAGATTTTTTTGGATGGTTATTCCGAGAAATTTATATCAGATGTCCCACTAAGGTCGTCCAGGTACGATATTATGGAAACCATAGACCTTACGGCTTCGGGATTTTTTTTTTCTTAACTAAATCGGCCTAGAGAACTTGATGGAAATTATTTTCAAGTTTCTAGGATGACCGCTAGGGGGCGCAATTACGATGATATAGCTAAAAATTCAACTTTTCTCAAGAAATCGTTATATTAAGATACTGTTTTAACAACAGAAATCAAAAGTTCATTAATTTCTGCGCCAGTTTGGTTATTAGGCTTTTTTTCGTATCTTCAGTAATAAGGGTGGGAGAAGCTGGTGAAATTTTTTTTTAGAAATTTCTGTATCTTCTATTCCCCTCATTCAAACTCATTCAATTTGGGTTTATTTGGAAGAGAATTTCATTGTTGTTAAGAACACCACTTCGTTCGAGGTCGATAGTTCCCACCGCGTCTTCTAGAGGGCGCTGTTTATTCAAGATCCAGTTTTTTCTAATTTTCATGAAAAATCCAAATGGCATATTATTATTTTTGTATTGCTGTGCTTAAAGAGCAAAAAAATATCTACATTTTGGCGCAAACCGCAATTCAATATCTGCATTCGTTTTCAAGTTACGTAAGGTCTATGGTCTCCATAATATCGTACCTGGCCGACCTTAGTGGGACACCCTGTATTCGCCTATAATGGTCAAAAGGGTGTTTCGTATTTTATCTGAATTTTATTTTTCGTCGGATTGCTGAAATGAATGCACTTGGTTTTTCTGATGTTTAGCGACAGTTTATTTGCATGAAACCAGCTGTCTATAATTTCCAAATCTTCGTTTATCCTTCTCTGGACGTCTTGATCGCAGTCGCCAGTCCATGTGATCGTTGTGTCGTCGGCAAAAAATGTCAGGTGTCCACTTGCGGTTAGAGTTACCAGTTCATTTATGTAAAGTATAAACAAGAAGGGTCCCAAAGTAGATCCCTGTATGTACACCATGCTTTAACTCTTTGATCTGTGATCTAATGACGTTTTGATGTTAAGTTTCTACCACTTGCCTTCGTTCCTTATTCAGAAAAGACTCAATCCATGCACCTGTCCAACGAAATCCATAGAAAGCTAATTTTGATATATTTTTTTTTTGATCGACAGAATCGAACGCTTTTTCCAGATTCAGACCCACCATAACAATTATTTTATTTGTGTCTGTTGCTTCATGTGCGCCCCATGCAATTTCCGATGGCGTCTGCTGTGCTTTTATTTTTCTGAAAGCCAAACTGATGTTTGTGTAAAATATGGTATTTACCTCAGGTATTTACCTATGAATGTTAGCATCCTGTTTTTAATCATTGTTTCCATTATTTTTGAAACGATTGACAACATAGCGATGGGTCTGAAGTTTGAGGGCTCATTGTTGTCACCGCCTTTATGTATTGGAATGATTTTTGATATCTTTATACTGCTTGGGAAAATACCATTTGTGAAGGAATCATTTATGGCAGCACCATCAGGTCTTGGCACTGCCGGTCTTGGTCAATTCCGGTGGATTTTTTCTTTGGTAGTTCCATAATTTCTCCCTTTGTTGCCGGGATTACATAGAATGTAGGGAATGTTCAAGAACTAATTTGGTATTTTCTTGGTACTGCTGGAATGCTTTCTGTAATCTTGTCGGCAATGGTTGTGAAATATGTGTTTAGTTCTTTTGCTGCAGCTTTTGAGTCCTATATAGTTTATGGTTTAGAGTTACTTTTATGGGCATTTTTTTCTTGTTGACGCGACATCTGATCTTATGAACGATTTTCCATCTTTCCCTTGTTGACAATCTTGCATGTGTTATCCTGTTAAGGTAATATAGACTTTTCGCCTTGCTGACAATTTGCTTAAATACATTCTTATACCTTTTAAGTACTCTTTCAGGTCGTCGTTGCTGGTATAGAACTTGCAAATTAGGTAATAGAGGCATCTTTTGTTTTCTGCTGAGATCTTGATCCACTTTGTTATCCATATCTTCCTCTCAGTAGTCCTCGTTGTTCTGGTTTTTGGTTTGTAGTTTGCGTTAAATGCCTCTAGTAGTATCTCATAGAACCTGTCAAATATGCTGCCCGCTTTGCTTGATACATTATTCCAGTCTACGTTATCTATATGCCTGCAAAAGGCTGCATAACTTCTTGATGTGTTGAGTATTCGTCAAGTTATTGATGTTTTATCTTCAACATAAATGAGGCTGGTAATTTTACCGATGATAAGTTCATGATCGAACAAGTCGGTTGAGTGTATCTGTACCTACTGGTAGCTCATCTCCAGGCAGATTTGTGCATAGGTAGTCGATCATGGAAGACGATGACTTGGCATTTTTATTCCACATGCTTGCAGACTAAATTTAACTTGATCGGTAGACTGGCTATTTTTCAGGTAACCAACCACGATTATTTTTGATTTCTTTGGCAGGCTGGTACAAATTTCATTGAGGTTGGAACCTCCGCCGCTGGGTGCTCTGTAGATATTTATTATGTACAGACTATCATCCACAATTTTTAAGCATGTACACTCAAATGTTTTTTTCTATATTTAGACTTGAGAATTTGTTGACTCCAGTCGCCCTGACACCATTTCTTACTATAGGTATGTTTCTGCAGAAATCACAAACCAGTCAGAGCGAACTTCATTGGTTGAAAACAGTCAGAAACAGTCAGCAAACTAGTTTCAACCAATGAAATTCACTCTGACTCTGACTGGTTTGTGATTTCTGCAGAAACAGATCTTATAATAGCACTTCCTCCATGTGCACTATTTGGCCTAGTCTAGAGTGATATGGTTTTGTAATTTTGTATTGCTATCTTTTCGCTTTCCGTCGGCCATTGCTCGGTAAAACACACAATTTCTGGATGGCTTAGTTCGTGTAATATTTTTTCTATTTCACCAATTTTGCTTCGGATGGATTGGATAATCATAGATAGGATACTGATGTTTGCTTCTTTGTGATCTGTATTTCCGCTATATTCGATGGGATCCTTGAAAGTCATTAATTTGGTGGTGTTGGCCGAATTTCGACGAGGTTGCTGGTGTTTACTTCCGTATTGGATATGGGCGCATTGACTTCTGGTTGGAAGATCGCATCATCCAATAGAGATGTATGCTTGTTTGTACTAGTTTCCTCTAAGTGCTCTTTCTCATTTCCTCGTTCAATATAACTTGACATTGATGTTTTGTTTTGTCTGGTTCTTGTGCAAATATATGCTTTGTACATATGGGCTCAATTAACTTTCCCTTATTCTTGTTCAGGATAGGTATCTGTCATAGGTTTCATAAAAGTTTTCAGTTAATCCTTTTATTCAATGTGTAGTATAACATACCCCAACAGCCTATGTTGGGGAAAAATTAGGGGTTGGCCCGGGTCAAATCCCCAAAATTTCAGATCAAAGGCGCCGCCGATCTACACCATTTCAACCTCAATTTCGGAAAAAGTAACTTTTATTTAGGAAAATGTCAAGTCATTTCCGGAAAAACTCAAATCAATTTCAGAAAAAGTAATGGTAATTTCGGAAAAAGTAAAGCTGATTTCGGAAAAAGGAAATTCAAATTCGGAAAATGTAAATTCATTCATAGCTTACTTTTGCCGAATTTGAATTTACTTTTTCCGAATTTGAATTTACTTTTTCCGAAATTAACTTTTCTTTTTCTGAAATTGATTTGACTTTTTCCGAAAATAACTTTACGTTTTCCTAAATAAAAGTTACTTTTTCCGAAATTGAGGTTGAAATGGTGTAGAGATTTTCCCACGGTATCGAAAAATTTCACAGGCTCAGGTGCCCCCGCTAGGTTGACAGATAACGTCGCTCGGGCTTAGTTGAAGTAGCCCGGAGTAGGTTTAGCATTGATAGATGGCGTCACTTGGGTTACGCATTGACAGAGGAACTGGTAGATGGTTGCACCGGTGCGCGACGTGATGGTGAATGAACTTACTATCGACTGGCAGATGGTTGCACCGGTGCGCGGTGCGATGGTGAACTCCCTTACTATCTCTACTCTAGTACCTAAAGAATCTTGTAAATGAAAAGTTCTAAGACTTTCTTCTGTGTTGTCTGCAGTAGTTATTTGGAATACCATTTTGATCTGACTTGACAGAGGTAGCTTCTTGATCCACATTGTACCACTTTCGACGCGTCATCGTGTAAAAGTAAATATACCAAACCATGTAGCCTGGATGCATCTGTATGTAAAGCAGTTGGCTTTGTTAGATCAAATGTGGTAAGAATTGGTGGTTCTGTCAAATGGTTACGAATACTATTGTAATTGTTCGTTCAGTAAGATTGAACGATGAGAATTTTTATTACCTTTTAAACAACAAATCTTCTGAAAAACAAATCGGACCTACGTTGTGGAAACTTACTCAATTTTACTTACTGGACATGCGCCCGACATAGCAAATATTTGGGAAATTTAAGGGAAGTTGTGATATGTAAAAGAAACGAAAAATTTGTGAAACGTCTCCTTTATTATCAAAGAAAAACGTACCGTTCTCATCCTGGAACTAACGAGGGAAAAGAGCACGGCAGAGAAACCCTCGATCTAACATTCCTCAAAAATTGAAACACTGTGTCATTTTAATAATAATTGTGAGTTATTAATTCAATAATTTAAGTCAATGAAAGTTTAAATTAGGTACCGCCCCTGTTCTTGTTCTAAAATTTCAATTAGACACACTACATTCAATCAACACTACCTATATTCAATACTGAAGAGTTTTTGGTTAGTTAGCCAGTTTCCCAGCAGGTACTGAGGCCCATACGGGAAGCTACTCAGCTATAGTTGTTTTTGAGCCAATGTCTCTAGATTTATTATTTCAATTTGTTAGGATATTCTCTCGTCAGGGTAGGAAAATGTTAGTAAATTCAACTAGGCCCTAATACACGCTCTAAATCCACAAAATCGAAATCTCAGCACAAAAAGATAGCACATAATTTCTAAGGTTTTAATTTACTTCTTTATCGGTGTTGTTTACAGCATGAAACGATTTTTGTTAAATACATGAACAATGCAGATGTTATAAAAAAAATGTTATAAACAAACAAAAAAACATAAAAATGGAAAAAAATGATACTTGTATAAATTGAACTCTCACAAACAAAATAATAATTATCTAACTGACCTGGTGATCTCTCCTTGACACACACACTAATAACAAATTGGATTGAACAATCAGTTTATTGCAAAATAAAAAAAAAATTGAATAATGAATACTTACAGACACGCGATACGCGTCTAACGGACCAGCCCCAGCTTGTTCTCTAGTCTCTCTAATGCCTAATCGCCTCTTCTTTAGCTCCCGTTCGGTTTGGTACCCTTTCAGTGCGCTTCACGGCGCATACCAGGTTGCAACATTTATTTTTATTCAGTAAACGTTTTTTTTTTTTTTTTAAGTTAAGATTTGAAGAAATAATATTTTAAATAGGTGGTTTTCCTCAAATGTATCTAGTTATAAATCTGTTCAAAATAGGCATGTTTCGGATATATGACGACGCTACAACTACGAGATTAGATTTTACTTTCTCTGATGATCTTATATTAGTTTTGTATTAGGTTTTGTTGCCAATTTTGCATTCTGATACCCTGTGAAGACCCAGTCGTCTCGCGTTGCCTTGTCGCTAACTTATCTAATTCGTCAACGATGTCTTCAAATGTTGCTGTCCCCTCATTTTGGATATTCATGTCAAAATTATTAGGTGTTGCTTTCTTGAGGAGTTCCTTAATACCTTGTACACTGCAATCTTCCAATACTAGTAACATAGGTTTTCTCACGTTCTTTGATCTGTCGGTTGGGCTTCCCGATGTCATATTTCTCGCTGTCACAGCTTCAAAACCTTTTTCACAGATATTCTTTAGGTCTTTCAACTTATTCTGGATTTCGTGGAGACTACTAGTCTGCTGATGGTTTTGTGAATGCTTACTTTCTTTATCGTGGATGTCTGCCAGTTGTTGTTTGGTTTTTTTTCAGATCATTTTCATATAGGTAGCATTCGTTTTCTTTGGTTAGGACTTCAATAGACACCGCCTATGTTTCGATATCAACTGTCAGTACTGAATTTACTGGACGCCGTTCTTTCAGTACACTGGATTCAGTACTAAATGACCACAAGAGTGCGCTGTTGAAATCGGAACGGCAAATGACAGTAAAATCAGCACAGTAAATCCAGTACTGGCAGTTGATATCGGAACATAGCCACACAAGCATACTGTTTTTGATATCTCCTGAATCCCTGCATCTTTTTGATATACCATCATTTTTAGCCTTTAACGTTTGCACCTCATCTTGAAGTATTTGAATTTTTTGTAAATGGTGTAGAATTTCCTGTTCTTGTTTCTTCGTGTTTACCTTTATATCACTAATTTCCTGGAGGTATTTTTCTTCGACACCACACACTACATCAGTGAAATCCTGAGTACCTATTTCTTCTTTGCTTTTCGATGTGTTTTTTCATAGCCTTATTCTGCACATGGAGTTGATGTATTTTGTCATGTAACTCCTTGGACTCATCCTCCATCTTAAATTTCAGCCATTCGATGTTCTTGTCTTTTGTTACATTCTCTTTCTTCAGTTTGCAGTATTTTTCCTGGAGTTGTTCTAGGTCTCTATTTCTGGTGTCGTGGAGCTTCTTGCATTCCTTGGAGCATAGTATTTTTCCGGGTTCCATGTCGGTCCTAGATGTTGATCTATTGCTGCAGCTATTATGGAATATGCTTGAGCATTGGATACAGCATACCATATTGCATGGTTTGTTTTTGCAACACTTGTAGGTTTAGAACCATCCTGGCTGTTATTTTCGTGCAGAATCTTCTTTTCGTTTATTGACTTTTTTGTTTCTCTTTTGGGAAGATCAATATCATATGAACATTTGTTTATTTGTATATATGCCAGGGTAAATGGCCCATAGTAACTAAAATAAACATGGTGAGTTTTTTTTTTGCTTGATTGATATTCGCAAAGGTATAGCAGCAAATAATTGGAATTCTAAAAAGAGACAAGGGACATATAGCCTAGTAGTTAGTTTGGTTTCACTGTGGATATTCTCGAGTTACAGATGATTCTCCTGATTAATGGCATATGGTTAGTCAATTAGGGCATCAACAGAATAGTTGTTCCTTTCCTGCATAATAGTTTCCTTATTTCAGTTGTCAATAGTTATTCTTCACATTGTCTCACTTCAGAAAAACCAATAACGATGAAATGATGAATACAAAAAAGCTCTTCTCTCGGTAATACCAAAGTACCTACAGGTTTCTATGAACTCACAATCTTATTTCAACTAATGAGTATCGCCTATGGAAGTAAACGATTTGGATTAATTCAGTTTCCACCTTTGAAATAAAACTCACAAATTTTTTTCTCTTCTTTTATTGAAAAAAAAAACAAGTTATTATTAATGTTTAAATAAAACAGTATTGACGAAACATATAAATATACATGTTAAATAAACCAATTTAAGACCTCTAACGCTTTTTGACCTTACATAATTTTACGGTACGTTGTAGTTCAATTTTTGTTTGGCGAGTAGGTATACCTTAAACTTCTTTTTTGTGTTCCATATGTTGGTGACTGTAAAGTAGGTTTTTACGACAGTATTTTAGGATTTTGTGGGATTCAGCGATGTGATTGGCTAGCTTCGAACTGGATTTACAGTAGACCTGTCAGATTCCACACTAAAAAAAAAGAAAACTATATTAAATGGAAGCCTATCGGTTGAAGATTCTAAATCTCAAAACCATAATTTTGATACATATTTTGCTAGCAGTATTAGGAGTAAACTTTGGAAACGTTTTACACATTACCTACGTGAAATTACAAAATATTGTGTTAATAACATATTATGTTAAAAAGAAAATAAGTGTTTTGTCGTCACCTGTAAAGTTTGTTTTGCAAATTAAAGAAAATCCCACAAGAAATCAAAAAATGGGGAACGCCTCATTGTTTGAGGAAAGCCATGCTAGAACACTAAATGGAAATATCTTGTACAGCAAATGGAAAAAATCGCAAAATGAAAAAAATTCACTCAGTATTCATGTTTATCTCCAGAGAACTGGAAACTATGTAAAAAAAGTTTGCTAATCTAGAGAAAAAATTCAACCAAAAGAGTCCAACATGGTCGACCAAGCTGACGAAGACGAGTTGGCAAAAGAAACTAAGTGGATCAGACACACTGAAAAAAACGTCGAATGGATACTTCGCTATCACCACCACAAAAGAAAGAGCGCTGGCTCGAAGATTACTGGAGAATCCTCCAAGGATTGCAATCTAAAATCTACTAAGGTTAGAAAGGAGCCATTACCCCAACCGATTATGATGAATGGCGTAAATAAATGTATAACGATATTTACGATAGGCCTCCTGGACAGCATTTGGTAAACTTGCATACATACTAAGAAATAGCGATATCCCCATTAATCTAAGACGTAAAGTTTTCAACGTCTGTGTTCTACCTGTTGCAACATACGGAATGGAAACAGTTGCCATTACCCAAGCAAGTGCCCACAAATTCCGAGTAATGGAGAGGGCAATGGAAAGGTCAATGCTTGGTATCAGTCTGAAGGATAAAATACCAAATGATGAGATTCGGAGAAGAACCAAGGTCAAAGACATAATTGAGAGGATTACAGAACTGAAATGGCAGTGTGCGGGCGACGTAGCAAGGCTGACGGATGAGAGATGGTCATCAAGGATCGTTAAATGGAGACCGAGAGAGACGAAACGCAGTATAGGCAGACCCCCACTACGGTGGGCGGATGACAGAAGGAAAATAGCAGGTGGAAATTGGTACCAGAAGGCACAAACCAGGGATCAGTGGAAAGAATTAGGAAAGGCCTATGTTCAGGAGTGGAGGAGAAGTGGCTGAGGAAGAAGAAGAAGAAGAAATATCATACAAGGAGTAAACAGTTGAACAGTCCCAAACCAGAAAGAATTTTAAAGAAAAAAAAATTACCCAAAAGATTATTGTAGAAAAAAGGAAAATAGGAAGGAAACGGCAGCAAAGTCGAGATTCTCATGACAAAACAATTCTCAATTTGACGCAGCGCATAAGGCGGAAAATTCAAGAAATCAAAAATGACTCAAATTTGGACATACAACAAAAACACTGATTATTCCCTTTGGAAAGCAACGTAATAATACCAGGATGGACAGGTATCCTCATGCTCAGGTGACAGGTAGATATAAATGCATATAAAATGTGTGCATTTCTTGGACATTAAACTACCTGTATCTCAAAAACTAGTCATAGGATTAAGTTGTGCCCATGATAGATATTGCTCAGAAAGGTGAGATCTATAACATACTAAAATTTGGTTAAATTTGACCGCGGTCAGAAATCCCATAAGAAGTGTGCGGGGTCCCAAAAATAAAAGCAGGTCTAGGTGTAGCGGGTAGCATGCTAGGCCCCTACTTATATTTATTATTTACTTACAACATCTCAAAACCAGAAAATTGTCATTTAGCAGCAACAAGTGCGCAAAGTATTACTTTTCCGCAGTTATACGAACGACGCGAAGCGGAGTTCGTATAACTGTTTTTGCGTGCGGAAAAGACACTTTGCACACGTGTCATATCAGGTACTTAGGAAACAACAAAAATTTAAGCAAAAAAAAAACGATAATGTGGTCAATTATTTTTAATTAATTTGAAGCAATACCTAAAAAAGTATTGAACAATTGCAAATCTTCATTGACAAAGTACATTATTTGAGTTACACATAAAGATATGAATGAACCTGGTGATGCAAAAATATTGTATCAATCGAAATAGACAAAACGCAAAAAATCTGCACTAATGGCAGTTTCCACCAACTATTTTAGGGAAGCCTTAAAAATAGGTATGGCTTAAACTGACATTACTCCATGGAATAGTGTAATTTTAAGGAATACTTATCATTTAGGCTTTCCTTAAATTGTTGGTGGAAACGGCCATAAGATACATAAAAATACCAAAATCTAACAAAAAAGTTTTATTAAAATTGTTCAAAAAATAAAGACTAGGTATATAGAAATACTCTATACATACACTCTATCATGATTCTGTTGATTTCTGATTTGATGTTTCATTGAAAATAATACATATTCAGTTTACTATGAAGAAAACATACAGAAAATATTAAATAGCTGTCCTACAATTCCATTGGAAACCGTCCATGGATGAACAAAATATCGGTGGATACTTGGTCTCATTGAAACAAATCGAAAATCTATACTTACATTCTTGATTTTTCTCACGGCTATATTGTCCTGAATTATTCCACTTGAAAACAGAGGCTACCTCTCGGCCAATATACAAAGGCTTGCCATTTTCGTCATGCCCGTGCATTTCGTGCGTTAACAATCTAGATTTGGTAGAAAAACTCATTTTACAAACTTTACAAGATAAGTTCAGATATTTCTCGTGGAATTTGATGTGGCGTTTGAGATAGTCGGATCTGAATAATCCTTCACCGCACATTGGACATACATGTTTTGCTTCACCCGAATGCATCAACCTATTGGGAAAAAAAAAGGTCAGTGCACAACTAATAAATATTATCAATTGTCGGAGCTACGCATAATGTTTAGATTATAGCTCATGAAATCTGCCTTTTTTTAATCATCATTTCTTGAGCACATGGTTGACAAGGTTTGCAGCCTTATCTAATCTCTTAATATCACGAGAATGAATCAATGTTGAATATATTAGCAATATATTGTTGATAACTCACCTAATATGCCCACTAAGTCCATCTTTGGTGAAGAATCTTTTTTTGCATTTATCACAAGTGTGGGGTTTCTTTCTTACATCATGTATTGTTCTATGTTTTCGCAAATAGCCTTCACTTTTGAATACTTTGGGGCATTTGTCGCACATAAAAATATCCGTACCTAAACAAAAATCATATATATTTTATTTAAAAAAATTGCTTTTTGAAGCAAAGTTAAATGAATCTCCCAAGTCTTGAGTCACCATGCGTATTGTTAAGTTTTAACATAGACGCAGAAAAATTATATACCTATACACAAAACATTTGAGGGCTGCTAGAGACAAAGGAGCTCAAAAATTTAGTGGTGACCCACAACAAAGAGTTTCAATTAAACTTTCTTCAAAAATATCTTTATTCTTACCATGAACATTCGCCATGTGTTTTCGAAGCCACCCAGGCTTCATAACTTTTCCGCACTTAGGGCACATGTTACTACCTTGTTGGTGCACATTTTTTTGATGAGTAAGTAGAGCCCTGGAAGAATAAAAGCCTTTGCCGCACTGTGAGCAAAGATATTCTGGGTTGTGATCTGACAGGTGAGTTTTGTAGTCTTCTTTTGTGAATCTAAAGGTCAGTAAGAAATTCAATATTTTATTGTAATACCCACCTAAAAATGTTCATTCAAAATTATTTATTTTTGAGAAAAAAGTTAGCTTATTTTTAATTTGTCTTAGGCCTGTGTCTAGGCTGCCTTGTTTATTATTCTGCCACTTTTACAAATTTCTCTCTTAGCAACAATAACCATGTTTGTCTTCCATATATTGACAAGCTTCTTCGTAAAAAACTATATTGCAATACATTTATGGATTAATCAGATACAGACAAACAAGTTATCAATATTTACAATGCTAGATCACCCTGCATAAAAATCTATAACAAGTTCTTAGTAATATTGAATAAACTGTTACCAACTAACAGCTTGAAATTTCAAGAACTAATATAATAATTTTAAGTAAAAAAATAAATGAATTTTCTTCTGACAAATGTTTTTATACAAACAAAAATTTCCCAAACACCCTCAATAAAATTTCATGGACCCTTACTTCTGCGAACAAGTTCCGCATTTCAAATAGTCACAACTAGGGGCATCAGCGACATCAGATTCATGAGCTTGCAATGCGGTAACAGTTTTAAATTTTTTGCGGCACCTCGGACATGAAACAGAACACTGCTCTTGAGATTTGAAGATGTCTTGATGCCTCCGAAGATCTTTAACACCTACAATATAATAACTGTATCCAGTAAAGTGAGTAACTGATTAAAAACATACGTTTAAACTTCTTATTACACTTCTGGCAAATAAAAAAGCACATTTCCTGATCCTTATAGGTTTCTGTATGCCTTTGAAGATCTTTGAAAACTAAAAAAAAACTCGTTCAATTTCAACTTTGGATAAACCATGAGATAACATACCTCTAAACTTTCTATTACACTTTTTACATGGAAAAGGCATTAAGCTGTAATGAGCAATTCTATAATGTTTTCTATAAGCCATATTTGAATCAAATTCAGAGTCGCATTGGTTGCATTTGAAGGATACTTTATCAGAAAGTTTAATTTTGCCATTGTGGTGAAGGTGTGCATGGTCAGTATAGTCACAACTACAAAAAATAACATTGTGAAAAAGTAAACACCTAATTAAATACTTACGAAGTTTTGAAAACCCAATCACACTCTGCACATTTCTGTACCTTATACTCTAAATCTCTGCCCACATAAATGACTCGTTTTTTCTTTGTAGTCTTTCTTGACATATTTATTACGTTAATTCCGTTTCGAATCAAATCATCATGATTCTCTTGAGTCATATCACTACGCGCAGATAGACACATCACTTTTGTAGCAGCAAAGTTGAAAATGTCCAAAATGCTTTCAGGAAATGAATTGGTGGCATTTTCTGTTGTAGACGTTTGATGCTTATTTTGTGGAGATGTTTTGGAGTTTTCTTTGTCTTCTACAACTTCAACTGCTTCATTTAGCGAATCATCAGATTGGTCATTAATTTCTTCATTATTTTTTGACAAGATAATATATGAATGATGATTAAGTTCAACTTTATCTGTTGTTCTATTATCTTTGTCCTCTGCTATGTATTCATTTTCATTATCTTCAATTATAATTATGATATTCTCGTGTTCTAATAATTTATCTGGTTGTGAAGAATTTGGTGATAAAATTCTTTCAGCTAACAAGCAACGCTCTATAAAAAAATAGGCAAACTTCAATTGCTCCATACAACTGCTGCATATCTGACTGGTGTCTTGGATTGACTAAAATTGAAAATAATTTTGGTTGATACTGGAATATACAGGTTGTACCCACAATAATGAAATTATTAAAAGCTCAAGATTTCAGTAACTTATTTGGTTTTATATGTCCAAATCTCATTTAGGGGAGAAGATTTGAAAGTGATATATATATAGGCAGTGAAAGTTTCAGATAATTATTCCTGGCATAACTCGGGCAACAATAAACAAACAATAAATCATCTGAATGCATTTCTCAACTTTCCTAAGCTCCAATATGTTTTTTCCTCGATATTTTCACATCTTTAATAAACCAGTAGTTCATTATATGTCTCTGATGCTACATATGTATGGTATGGGATTGTACAGCTCTTTGTTAGTTCTTGCATTATTCGTAAGGTATACGATATCATAATAATATGTTCTTATACTATAAGTGTGTATATTATTTGTAAATACATATATTGTTTATAGGTAATGGTTTTATATTTCTTATCAAGTATTCTATACACCAACTTACATTGCTCAACCTCTAGTAATTTGTGCTTGTCAGGCACCTATGCTGTAAAGGAGTTCTGTATGTGTGCAACCATTGATTGTATTCATAAAGAATTTTTAATACTATTTTGCTTTGTAGAATTTTCAGATTATTGAACTCAACCACTCCACATGTACCCCACACAGGGTGAACGTACCTGAGATGCGACAAATAAGTAGGCATTATACATATACATCTTTCTTTTCCTGTTAACAAAATTCCCAACATGGTATATGCTGATAATCATAGGCATGACTTCATCAAATTATTAACATCGTCCTTCCAATTAAGCCAAAATATTTGATATTTTCTACTTTTTCAATGTCTATATTAACTTTCTCAAAACATAGAGTGAATAAAAAACTGGTCCAAGGACTGACCCTTGTGGTACCCCCATGGGACCCCTGTATTGTTAATGTTATGTGAACTTCTTATATCTTCACCTTGATCTTGACATTGTATACAGGGTGATTTACGTAGCCCCTGCATTAGCTTGCAGGTGGATTAGATGGTATTTCTACTAATCCAACTGCAAACTGGACAACTTCTAATCCACGGGCTACGCAAATCACGGTGTATACTATTTTCTGTCTCTAAGATATGACCCTAATAAGTTAAAAATTCTGCCACAAAACCCCATACTAATCAATTTGGTTGAGAGGATACCTACACTAACAACATCAAAAGCTTTTCGAAGATCTACAAACACTGATGGTATTACAGTTCTTCTATTTTCTAACTCATATGGTATTTTATTTACAGACTGCTGTTGCACTAAGTACGGAACTATTTCTTGTAAATCCATACTGATATTATTATCTAAATTTATATATTTATCTATGAAATTCAGCATTTGTTTATTGATAACTTTTTCCTCAACTTTTTTCAAAATCTGACTGAAAACACCCTCTTCTAGAAAGTACAGGAATCATTTCCTCCTGCAAATTAATTACATCTAAAACCGAGACCTGGTCATGGCCTGGGTCTGATATTATTTTTAAGAGACTACTACTGTGTTGTTATATCGTTGTTTTCACTGTTATGAGTCACATGTAATGCACAAAATTCAGTCTAGCTCTCTCCAGGTCCCGGTCAAGTATGTTTTTGAATGTGTTCTTTGAAGGAGCACTGACTGTGCTTTCCTGAAGGGCGTTCCACTGATAGACAAGCCTATTCATCAGAAAATTCTTTCAGATCAGCTTCGAGTATCTTTCCTTATTCAGCTTCTTGGTATGGTCTCGGATTTGCTGGTTAGTATTTAGACTGAAAATGTCCAGTTGCAAATCTGGAGAATAATGGTGATTTAAGATTTTGTACGTCTGAATCAAGTCCCCTCTTTCTCGTCTAGCTTTTAGGGTTGTTATGTCGTATCTCAGTAGTCTTTCTTCATATGATTTCTGATTTCAGGGCGGAGTTTTGTCACTCTACGCTGGACTCTTTCCAAGATCTCAATGTCCTTAACCAGGTATGGGCTCCAAACCGAATGTGGGAACTCCAATTTAGGTCTGATATATGTTTTATACATTTTGCTAATACTTTGTCCTCTTTACAACTGAAGAAATATGGGCTTCCCATTTTAGGTGATTTGAGATAATGATACCCAGATCTTTCTGCTCAGTGACAGCCTTCACGGTAGTGCCGTTCAAGCTGTAAGGTATGTTCGGATTGTTACGACCAATGTGCAGTACAGTGCACTTGTCGGGGTTGAGTGTTAGCGGCCATTCGCTGATCCATTTCTCGAGTGTTGTCAGTTCGTCTAAAAGATTGTGATGCTCTAAGCACGGATTGCAGTATATTTTTGTTTCAATAGCATAAAAAATGATGTTTGTGTTTATAAGATAATGCAGATCGCTGATGTATACAGTTAACAGCAGTGGCCCAACACCAATCCCTGTGGCACCCCACTAAGGACCTTGTATTCATCAGAGTAATGCCCATTTGCTCTCACTTGAAAGGTTCGGTTTTGTAGAAAATTTCCTATCCACCCAAGAAGCTCACCCCTGATTCCAAAGTGTTGCAGTGTGAATAATAACCACTTGAATGCCACTTTGTCAAATGCCTTTCTCATAGTCTAGGTACAGTACATCCACCGGATGGCCAGATGGCCACTGTCCACTTCTTTCGTCCATGAGTTTATGCAGGTGAGTAGGTTGGTTGTGGTAGATCGTTGGGGAGAAATCTGTATTGGGTGGGTGGTATGATCTTGTTTTTAACAAGGAAAGATGTCATTTCGTGAACTATTATTTTTTTTATGATCTTGCATAGGTTACAGGTAGTAAGGCTAATTGGTCTGTTATTTCCAGGGTTGAGCTTGTCTCCTTTTTTGTAGATTGGCACTACATATGCTCGAGTCCATCCATGTGGCACAGTTTGCTGAATGATTAGTGATTACAAGAGGCCAGTTAGCACTGGAGCCAACATCCTTTGGCAATTTATTAAAAATATTGCCGGTATTTCATCCGGGCCTGGACTAAATTTTCTTTTCAGAGTAGAGATTGCTTGAATAACCTATTGTTTGTAATATTTATTAATGATATTGCTGAGTGCTTCAAATTTTCTAAATTTCGGTGTTTCGCGGATGATCTGAAATGTTATTCTGCCGTTTCTTCCTTGGAGAACTGCCTTAAATTCCAATCAGATTTGGACAGACTTGTTGAATGGTGTGACCTCAACGTGATGGATTTAAACATTGCAACGTGTAATTCTTTTTGTTTAACCAAAAAACGCACAGTACAAGGCTTTATTGGAATATTGTTCAACCGTTTGGAACCCTCATTGCACATGTCATATTCACATGATTCAGCAGGTTCAAAGAAAATTATATATATTTGGCTTGGAAATCTAGTATTCCCTCCTGGGATGGTCATAGCTAAGATTTCAAATTGCTTCAAGAAAGATTGCACTACCGACATTAAAAGTTACAAGGGACCAGGCAGATCTCAAGCTGTTTTTTAAACATAAATTGTTTTATTGACTCTCCCATTTTAAATTCATTTATATTGCTCTCAGCTTCATCTAAAAATCTAGATTACCATGCCAGCTTTAATAGTTTTTTAGGTTTTTTACAACATATCTAACTGCCTGCAGTGATATTTAACATAGTACTTATCAAAGCCTGAATGTGTCTAGTATTATTTGTATTTTATTTTTAATTAAATTCATGGATACTGTTAGTAAGATTAAAATTGAATTCTTGGTTCACTAGTTCCATTAAGGTAATGATATTATTGTATAATCATGTACTGAAAGTGGGTAAGGCTCGTTAATAAAGAAATAAATAAATTAAGTTGCCGTCACTTGACTGAAACTGAAGCGGAAGTGGTGAAATTGGATGACACATGTAAAAGCGGAACAAAAAGTTACCCAGATCCTCAAAATTTCAATTATATTGGATAAGGCGTTTCAAAGTTATCACCTGGGTTAATAATTATTTTTGCACTCTAGCTGGAGACCTGGCTACAAATATTTCACCAATTACCAACCCATTAGATTATTTAAAGGATACCTGTATAACCGACTCGTTCTACCTTTGCCCAACTGAGAACTTCGAAACATCCAGTATTTCTCTCAAGATTTTTCAGCACCTTCCTGATTGTATAATCAGCGCACTGGCTGATGCCATTAACATCTTTTTCTTGAGGGGAATTTTCCCAAACTCATTGAAAAAGTCGCTAATTTTAGACCCATCTCATTAATAACCACACTTTCAGTGTTGAATATACGAGTTAACTCATTCATTGATAGGCATGGTATTTTGAGTGTGTCTCAGTATGGATTTCGGGCAGGGAAAAACACGAACGACGCGGTGTTTTCTTTCTTAAATAACTTATATCTAAGACTGAATGAGAGAGAACAGGCTGCAGCAGTTTTCTGTGATCTTTCAAAAGCGTTTGACTGCGTTAATCACGGAATACTGCTTCAAAAGCTTGAGGTGTATGGTTTTCGGGGTACTGCTCTTGCCTGGTTCAAGTCTTACTTGGGCAAAGGAACACAGAGGGTGGGTGTGCGAGGTTCCGAATCTAGCGAACTGACTGTTCCCTCCGGAGTGTCGCAGGGCTCCATACTGCGACCTATTCTGTTCTTACTTTATGTTAACGACATTGCCACTCTCAGGATTAAGGGTACTTTTACGTTATTTGCCGATGACATTACTATATTGTGGCATGGTTTTGATCCTATTGAGTTGAGTAAGACTAAAGATATTACACATGTGAAGCTATGGTGTGATGCCAACTATTTATCTCTTAATATTTCCAAGACAAATATTTTACAATTCAATGGTTCTTTGCCTGACATAGCCCTTGACACAAATAAAATTTCAAATTGCACAGATGTTAAATTTTTGGGTTTATGTATAGATAGCTAGTTATGTTATGTTTCAAGGCCCACATCTTAAATCTTTGTTCAAAGTTGGCAACAGGCTGTTTTGTTGTGAGAGTTGTGTCACATGAACTTAATATAAGTATGTCTCATACAGTTTATTTTTCTTTGGTGGAGTCCCGCATCAGATATGGTATTCCTTTCTGGGGAAACTCTAGCCAATATTTACTGAACTCTGTTTTTGTGTTGCAGAAGCGTACCATAAGGTATATCTGCAAAGCTGGTATTAGAGATTCTTGCAGGCCTTTGTTTATCAGGCAAAAAATTCTTACTCTAACAGGTCTCTATATACTGGAAACAGTTTCCTTGGCGCACAAAGGGCATCATACCTCAACAGTGGGCAGTGGCCCTTACAACACCAGACAAGTTGAAATGTTGCCATTGCCTATACCACACTCCACTTTGATAAAAAAAAAACTCTATCATTCATAATGCCAGAAAAATGTATAACCACTTGCCAATTGCTGTAAGAATCATACAGCCTATCAAGAAATTCAAGAATTCTGTAAAAGCTTTGCTGATTGACAAGGTATATTATACCTTAGCAGAGTACTTTGCTGATCAATTTTGACTTTGTTTATCATCAATTTATCTACTCTGTTTATCATATCAATAGTTGTGTTTTTAAATGTTTTCTTGTATTCATTCTTCCAGTCTTCCCTTAATTATATATTGTTTCTGTTTCAACACCTATGTTTTTATTTAAGTTTTACTACCTAGTTTAGTTTGTATTTTATTTCCAAGTTTAAGGCTCCTGTTTTTCGCGAATTAAGTACTGTACCTATTTGCTTGTTATGTTTGTTGCTTTGTCGATAAAATGTATTTGCACTTTTCAGACCATAAAGCTTATTTGATTGATTGATTGATTAAAACGTCGTGGGACACCCTGTATAGTTAAAGACTCTGGGGCCTTATTCTGTAAGAAACGAACCGTTCGATTCGGTAGATTTTTTTCGATTGTGACGTCATTTTCGGTTTGGTAGCGCGAAAACCAAACCAAAAATGACGTCACAATCGAAGAAATTCTACCGAATCGAACGGTTCGTTCTTACAGAATAAGGCTCTGGGCTGGAACTCTGTAACGAATAGAGATATTTTCTCTATCTCTATCGACGTCTCCTCTCTATTGATTTCGACAAGAAAGAAGAAGACAGCAAGTGCCATAGCGATAGGGATAACGATCTCTATCCGTTACAGAGTTCCAGCCCTGTTTTCCTTACTAAAATATGTTTTTTTTTAAAGATAAAAGTCAAACTGACATTATGTTGGCAATACAATGTAAAATTGTCAATGCTTCAAATTTTTTTATGTAGAAAAGGCTTGTGTTGCCAACATAGTTACTAAATTTTTGACTTGGGGAATTATCTTTAAAAAAAAAACAGACTTTAAATTAATTTGTAATCTTATTAAAGCTACATCCTCAATCAATCTGGCAGCGAAGTGGCACTTCGGCACGCGTGCTGGGAAATTGAAACCTGTCCTCAATGCTGTCAATTTTCTGTCTGCTGTGCGTGTAGTACGGTCACGAACCGTGCGTTCAGTATTTTGATCTGAGTTCTCCGAGCATAAATTTATCGTTCGTTTATTTAAAAAGTGTACTCGCTGCAGGCTCATTCATGTTCGATTATTAAAATTTTGAGTCTTCTGATACAGCGTTCAACTGCTGTGTGCGCTCGTTGGTCAGGTGATTACAGCTCCGCTCTGCACGTTCTGCTCTTCGAGCAAAATACTGAACGCAAGGATAACCTGAATTATTTTTTACTGTACTGCTCATGACATAAGTCGGCACGCATCGAAAAAGCTTGTAGCTTGCACTTCAGAGTCGGCGTGCATGCTAGCACGGAATTGAATTGAGGATGCCAACGTTAAACAACATTATCCTAGCATGCGTGCCGAAGTGCCACTTCGCTACCAGATTGATTGAGGATGGGCCTTAAAAGTTGTGACAAATTATAGGTAAAAAGTTAGCTGTTTCAAGCATTGAAAAGGTGGGCTAATGAAAATTTTCTACTCAAAAGATCCTCAAATTATGAAAGTTCAGGGGTACTTAAAAATAGAAGAATATTAATACTGGATCAGGATCTTACTCCCATCTGCAAGCTTATTTTTTGCCTTGGATCAGAGAGAGTTTTCAACAGATCATTATTCTGCACTGATATCCGTGCGGAAAATTAATTAGTGAGGTAAAGAGGTATTACCTACGAGCGTGGTAAAGTACACTCTACCGCACTTGTTTGCAAGTGGCAAGTAGCACTTTACCGCACACTATGCGGTAAACTAGACTAGACTGCACAGTATGCAGTGAAGAGTAGACAGTAATTGTAATCAAAAATGTCTGCTGTTTCAGAAATTTCAATAATGCATTATTTTGGAAATATAAGTAGATGCTCATAAATAGATAAAATTTTATACATACCTAACACACGCGGAAAGTGCTCTTACTGCCTGTAATGGCTTGACCGAACTCCACCTCACGTTGTTTGGTCAGCTGCCGTTGCGTGCGGTAAAGTATCACTTTCCGCATTCGTTACCTATGTAACTAACTATTAAAATAAAAGATTCTTACCACAGTAGGAACACAAAATATGATAATTTCCTTAATACTTTTGGAGGCATTCTCCTGCCAGGGTGTAGAAACTGGCACCAATTCCTCCTCAGGTTTCTTCTCTAAGCAAATTCTGCATTTTGATAAAACTGTCCACATATTTTATTTTTCTTTAGGAAATACCGAAGCAAGTAACGCAAGTAAAAAATAATAAGTTGTTTGTGTTTGAAAAATTGTAATCAAATAATCAAAACAAAACGAAATGTGAGGTTATAGCGCTTTCGATTGATAGATTAATGAGCACTGAGGACAGGCAAAACAGGTTTGAAACGGCAATAGTTGTATTCCTTTCAAGGGTTTGAAACACTCGAGCTACTCGCTCCGGTGTTTGGTAGCTCCCGATTTGTCACAACAGACACTTTTCGAAAGGAATAAGCGCATGAAGCCTTGGAGCGGTTCCGGAGCTCCTCCGAAAGGAATACAACTATTGGTGTTTCCATTCTGTTTTTCAAACCCGGCTTTATTCTAGCAAGCAATCCATCCAGGTTTGCGGGTGACGTCACCACTATCATGGGCTGCGTTCAGATTGAACGTCGGGTGTCGCCCGAGCGCGTTCTGACCGTTCAGATTGCTTTGGGTAAAATTTACCCAGCCGTTCAGATTGTCAGTAGATTTTTACCGGACGACGCCCGGACGCACACTTTTGCGTCCCATAAAATAGCAAGATAAAATTTGCCCCGCATGCGCGTTTGTGTTCTAACCTTAAATAATAAAGGCAAATATTGTAAATAATTATTTTTGCGAGTTATGGTGGGTTTATCCAAATTCTTCGTTATCCTCATCAACTCTATTTAAAAAAAAAGTGGCCTCTTTTTTTTGTTTAGTTTGTGATGCTAAATTGATAGCAATCACTGACACTAGCACATCCTCGTGGTCCGAAGATGAAGCGTCCTCATCATTAAATAACTCTTTAAATATGAAGGAAGATACTATGGCTTCTTCCATAGTTAGTATTTATTTAAAAAAATTTGAAGAAAATGGCAAAAATGTTAGAATCAGTGAGGTTATAAAGAGAGAATGCGTCTTGGCCGTTCAGATTGGGCGAATCGCCGGGCACACTCGGAGTGCGCTCTCTATCGGGTGCGCTCTTCACTGGACGTCGTCCGGACTCTTCAATCTGAACGCGCCCATGAGGAGAGAATGCGTATTGGCCGTTCAGATTGGGCGAATCGCCAGGCACACTCGGAGTGCACTCTCTATCGGGTACGCTCTGCACTGGACGTCGCCCAGACTCTTCAATCTGAACGCGCCCCTGGAGTGCGTTTAGAATGGTGAAGGTAGGGTAATTGTTTGTCAGAGTGTTCTGAGGTCATCACTTGGAGTGCACTCTGGGTGCGCTATTCCTGAACGTATTGGAGCGTTGCAGTAAGTGTCAATGTCATGAATCACGTCAAAACCACGGGGAGTTTTTCAACCCAGTCCCCGAGTGGGGTAATCTGCGCGCACTCTGGGCACGTCAACTCTCGATTGCTGAACGATTCCAGCGAGCTCTTAGTAAACACCTATATTAATTTATGAACGGTTTAGAGTTACTCTAGGGTCACTCTCACACCCAGAGTGTTATTTCTAAACGCACTACGGATAGTGGTGATGTCACTCGCAGACCAGCGATTGCACCTTTTCATTTTATTTGGATTGAGTATTTTCTTGAACGGGCTTCTAGAGTGTCAGTCAGTGGACAGTGACAACTGTCAAATATCACCTGACATCAAAATCATAACAAAAAACAAGAAAGTTTTTTCTTAAATTTTTCTTTTGTATCTCAATTAAATCGTATCGCTATTTCCTTGTCATCTCAAGTTAATTAAATGCGTAGAACAATCAGAAAGTCAGAAAATCATTACATTCTGATAAGTTTCAAATATAAATCTGGAAACTGGAACTAGACATTTGGTATTATCCTCCTGGACACAGGAAAGTTTTAAGTTCAGGACAAAGGAGGTAATTTTACTGGAAATCATGGAAGAACCACCATCAATAAGCACTGAACACATTTGCGATAGTGATGAGGAAAGTTGTAGAAACTCAGGTCGGAGGTAGGTAAAATAGTTAGGAGAGCTATTAAGGTATTGAGTCATAGAAAATCCACTGAAAAACAAAATTGAAGAAGATGTTGATCAAACTACTACACTACCAAGAATTTGATGGCAAACTTTCTTATTTACCTCAATAATCACCCTGTATAGACATTCCATCTACTAGAAAATCATTTCGTACATAAAAATCTAAACAAATTCATTCCAATTATTACATTGTTTGTTTTATTTGGAATTTCAGATGTTGCCACAACCCAGGAAAAGCCCTACTAACAGAGGAAAGAATGCGCAGAAAACTGCAGTTTTTCTTTATGAATCCCATAGAGAAATGGCGGGCAAAGAACCGATTTCCCTATAAATTTTTCATACAACTTGCTAAAATTATTTTGGTCACTTTACAACTGTGTTTATATGCTTACAGGCAAGTTATAGTTGTTGTTGACAGTGGGTAGTCACTTGTGATTTTTTAAGACAGTAAGTCTCGATTTATGGAGATCTTCTTGGAACTCTATAGTCCATAGATCTCCAGAGATATTTTGGGATATTTATGAAGAAATTCCCATACATTAATAACCGCAGTTAAAATTATGTGATCTCCATGAGATCTCTATCCCATAGGACAGATTTCTACAGTGACTACCCCCTCGATTATTGATTGAAATTATCCAAAGACCCAAAAAATAAACAGGTTTTTAAAGTTGCTTTCTTATTGCAGTAGTTATAATCATGTAAATTACACCTGGGACAACAAAATAGCCTTTTCTCATCTCTTCTTAAAGGATTGGGATGCTACTAGAGAAGTTAATGTTTATCCACCCGCAGTGGGGCCCTTGGCTATTTACAGACAGGAGAATTTTTTCAAAACATTAGATTATGCTTATGAGAATTATGCTAATTTAAGTGAAGCTGTAGGTGAGATTTTTCACTGCTTAAAAATTGTTGCAAATTTATATAAACATCTCATTTAGGTTCTTATTCATATGCCAATGAAGATAATACAGTAACAGACATGGTGTTATGCATATACGAGTATAAACAAGGAATTATTTATGGATTTAATGAATCTTATGTGTTTGATAGTGAAATTGTGGAAAGATGTCAGAATTTTTCCTATCACATCCACGGACCTATGTTGGACTCGAAAAATGTTCTAGAAAACAATAATTTCAACGTTAGTTTTTCTGCACTTGTCAAGGCCGAATTGATGTTCTCTTTGAAAACTGTCAATTTTAAAGCTGCTAGCAGAATAACTGCTCCCAACTGTTATAGATTCGACATTAAAATATTGTTTGATAATGGGGATCATGATGGGCAAATGTTGTTAAGTTTAGATGCTGAAGCACTTAGGCTGAAATGCAAAGGTTTGTGTCTTGTAGGAAATTGAGCACAATTAATTTATCACTGATGTTATTAATGTTGTTTGAGACAAAAATAACATTAGTGATTGTGTGTTGGTAATGTAAGAAACATGGAGTATAGAGAGGTCAAGCTTACATTGGTAAGCAGTGAAGACAGCAACCATATGTGGTGCTGTTGTTGGATGCATGGGACAGCTTATAGGGTTTTTCAAATTCTGGTAAAAAACACTGGCTGTTTATTTCTCAACTGACTAGCGCCTCATGGCCCTCATGCATGATAGAAAGGAGTTTCTTATTCTATATGTATTTACAGTCGCCTCTACCACAGTAAGTTTGGCCTCTCTAGACCTCTAGTGGGTGGGCTAAGTGGGCATATTAGAAAAAATATGTTTTTTTCAGGTGACACAACCTATATTACAGATGATGAAATATCAAGTATCCTCCGTAGTATGCTCAATTATACTGTGAGCGTTATTTGTATTATTTCTTTCGTGTTGTGCTCACGGACTGTATGGAGAGCACAGCAATTAAAACGAGTCACTGTAATGTTTTTTGAACATCAATACAGTAAAACATTGACTGCCTCTGATAGGAATAAATTTTTGAATTTGTGGTATATCATGATTATTGTCAATGATATATTGATCATCATAGGTCAGTAGTACAGGGTGCGGCTATTTTAAAATGCAACCCATCATTATGAGAATGGCAAGAAACAAAGCAATCTAAAAACTTGAGCATTTATTTTGATGACACTATTAGACTATAGTAGGCGCTGAACCTGTCTACAGGTGTCCACCATTCTCATTTTCACAGAATCAATCACCTCCAAAAAAGTTTCTGAGAGTGTTTCTTAACTATTTTGAACAGTACATTGTTAACGTTTGCAACTACTAAACGGAACATATTGAAGCACACAAACTTGTATATGTAGGTATGTGCCGACTATGGTTTTCCTCAATTTCGTGACCTTCATTCTGTAGAGTTGCATTTTGAATGGACCACTCAACTAAAAATTGCAAGAGATAAAAAGTAAGCCTGAATAAGCTAGAGTTTGCTATGAAATGCTTTCCACAAAACAATGTATCGAGAAAACCTCTCACAGGAAATTCTGACCATTTGATGTGCAGTATGCTTGTCCTGGCTTGTTTTTTAATGTCAGAATTTGCTTTGTTAAACTCAATATCTGATTTTTTCTCTATAGGATCGTCAATAAAGGAACAAATCGAAAGACAAGAGTTTACCAGTGACCAATGGAATATTTGCAGTCTCTTTCTGGGTATTGGCAATATGCTGGTTTGGTTTGGAATATTGAGATATCTTGGCTTCTTCAAAACTTATAATATTGTCATTTTAACATTACAAAAAGCTGCTCCTCAAGTATGTCATTGTTTTACCCATAGAAAATTATTGTTATAAACTACATTTTTTGTAGGTAGCCAGGTTTCTACTTTGCGCTTGCCTAATCTATGCAGGTTTCACATTTTGTGGCTGGTTAATTTTAGGTCCATACCACTTGAAGTTCCGCACTCTATCGACCACTTCTGAATGTTTATTTTCTTTGATTAACGGAGACGATATGTTTGCCACTTTTTCCATTATGTCCAACAAATCTAGCTTACTGTGGTGGTTTTCCCGGGTGTACTTGTATTCTTTTATCAGTCTGTACATTTATGTTATCCTCAATCTATTCATATCAGTTATAACTGACACTTATGAGACCATTAAACTCTATTACAGGTACATTTTTTTTCTAAGTAATTATGAATTTATTATATTTTTTTTTTTTACAGTGAAGGTTTTCCAAAAAGCGACCTAGATAATTTTATAGGTGATACCAACTGTGACGACATGTCCAGTGGCATTTTCAGGACAGGCTCCAGTGAAAGCTTAGGGGGGTTAATCAAGGATTTATGCTGTTGTTATCCACAATTGATGCAGAAAACCTATAAGACTTTGAGTCAAAGCAATTCCGCACCCAATGATAATTCGCCGCACATGAATGGTTCCATTTGAAATAATATGTTTTAAGTACTTGGTATGTTATAGAATACAGGGTGTTTTAAGAGTTATATTTTAGACCCACTGTATGAATATTGAAAATAAGTATATCCACAAATTGTTACCGCCTTTATTTATTTTAACTGCCAAAAATATAGAAGATAATAAGTGAAATGTAAGGCTGTTTTATTAAATTTCAAAATAAAATACCAAAAAATGCAGGCAAAACATATTGTTTATAATTTCCAGGACGTCAAGTGCTAAAATTTGGTTTATTGAGGGCCAGTTTATTCATCTATAATCGTATTTGCTTTCAGATAACTAGCCGACCAATAGAATTATAGATTCCGTTTTTATCTGTCAGATTACATTACCTGACAGTTTATCAGAAGCTGCATAAACAGGGCCTTAGACAACTGATATTGTCCAAGGAAGTAAACTTCATTTTCTCAGATTTCACCGAATTATGTTGGTGAGGGACTTAACTCGGCTACTTCACAATGGTAAACTTGAGAAATATTCTCTAAAGGTTGGTTAAAATGTATTTTTCACTTGGAGAATTCTGGTAATGTTGGCAGCCTTTGGGTTCTGCAAATAGGATTTTAAAGTTTTTTTTTCCTTATTTGATCTAACTGATACTCGTGGACAACATCAGTAGCAATCTGCTTCTAAAAGCAAAAACAGCGGGACAACCAAAAATGTCAATACTCCGACTCCTTGAGCTCTAACAAACCTGAGCACCCGTGGGATCGATCCGTTTACACTATACCATAATTAGTATTATGGAATGGTACATAAAACAGGTCAGAACCTCTCAGTCTGCTTTCGAAGAAACAAGACCCAAAAGATCAGGGCAGTGAATTAACCCTCTCAAAAGTCTGTAAAGGAAAGAAAGAACCACATCAAGTCTCCTGCTTTGCAAGGTATGAACACTCAAGAAAGATGAGGGCTTTCTGAGCCAAACCCACTTTGTAAACAGCCACCCTCAGAAATCTAGTCAGCATATTGGGGTGACCAAACAACAGATGAGTTTCCCAACATGGATTGCATCATCGCACAGTACAATGTTGACATATCAGCAGTAGACCTACATATAAAGCCCAAACATCTTACAGCCCTTGACACAGTATTGATAATATGGCCATCAAATTAATTACATCTTGGAGTCAAATTCCACTCCTAAATCCCAAATTAGGAATTCTTGCTACTTCCCTGATTGATGTGTTATTAATTGTGTAAGGGAATTTCAACGTTTGGGCTAACCTGGAAAAAGTGATCTTATAACATAATTTAGCAATATTGAGGTACAATTCGTTCGAGCCACAACATTTATCACAAGAATCGACATCATCCTGCAGCAGTTGTGAGTCTTCCAACGATGATACCTGACGATAAAGTTTAAGATCATTTTTCCGACATTTACCTAACACTCCTAACAGTACCTTTGTCTTGACTTTGACACTTTGGTGCCCCAAAAGGAACATCAAAGACACGAGACACAACAACGCCATACCTAACTGCCTGAGTTCTTCCAACAAGAAAGTCAGCAAACCAACTCAGAATTGGACCTCTCACACCCTGTCAAAGGCTTTAGAGAAGTCCGAGTATACAGGAATCCTCTCTCCATCCAGCCTGATTAGTGGTACAGCTCGAGTACACACTAGAAAAGAAGTCTGCAAACAAGTCTACAGTCTCTTGATTATATTGAATATAAGTGAAAGTCGTCAAATTTGGATCAAATATATACAAAACCAAAGTAGTTTTCTACTATTTGATTCTCAGCTGCAATCTGTAATAAGCATAATCAATGTAATCAAGCTGAGGCTGAAATAGGGATTCTAGAATCATTAAATTTCGCTGGGCTCATCATCGTAGGACTTTGTATCTGAAGTAGGTACGCATTCCTTCTATAACTGCTAATGCAAATTACCAAAAATTTAACAACAAATTGATGTATGCAAATAAATCTTTATTTTCAATAATACTAAAACATATAGGTACCATCGTCACCAAAAGTATCTAGGACACCAATAATGCATAATAATCTCCTGGACTAATTCTACTGTCATTCATTCCAATGCATTTAAATTATAGTTTGACAAATATTTGACAATAAAATTCATATAATAGGACAAGAGCTAATGTGATGCTGTCCCAGTTACTTTTGGTGACGATGGTACATCTATAAACAATTAATTCATATACTTAAATGTCGTATTTCGTTAACTATGAAACAGGCAGATCATCATTATTGAACGGACAATTGGTTACTAGGCAATGTTTACGGCATTTTTGTTTGGCTCTGTCGAAGTATGCGTCATTGCTGCAACTCTTTCTAAGTTTGACGAATCGTCCATGATTGTCGAGTACGCAAATGAAAAAATCTGTACAATTTTCTGGAACTGGGAACTGGCCGGGGTAGCGACACGTAAACTTGTGATTATTCTCTGGTTTACAGTCTGCCGATGCCACACATGATCCAGCTTCCTCGGAATATTTGTGATATAGAGGACATAGGTACTGTTTTTGCTCGAATCTATGGTAGAAGTAATTATAACTGCAGGCGTAGTATCTACCACATCTGTATTCATGTTCAAATACACCATTGTTCTCACATGAAAGCGGTGGTTCTCCTGGACACTGTACCGGAGATGATGTACAAGTTTTACTGGATGAGTCATATTGCAATTCATCAGGACAGTACCCTGGAAGGTCGATAAATGTTCCGTTGCCAGCATCTACGCACAAGTGATAATTCGAACAATTTTGTGTGTCTGCGAATTTACCAGGTCGAGTGCATTGGAACGGTAACAGCGGGAACACGGATGTAGTAGTTTCCTGCGGTTCCCAAGAAGACGAAGTATGACTAGGTAGCGTGGAACCGGTTGGATTTGTGGGAGGTGTATCGGATGAAGTATGCCATTTTCTAGTAGTTGTCTTACAATCTATTGGGGTGGATGATTCGGATGAAGGTTCTGTACTCTCACTGGTCTCAATAGTTGATGGTGTACTTTCATCAGTTTCTGTAGATAGGGATGAACTCTCGCTAGACTCATCATCTGTTGGTGAACTTTCACTAGTGGCATCAGTCGATAATGAACTTTCACTAGAATCAGGAGTTTCTGTGTCACTTGGAGTTGAAGACTCACTAGTTTCTGTAGATATGAAAACGTCACTGCTAGTACCTGTCGAAATCTCGCTAGTCTCAGTACTTGATTCTGTACACTCATTACTTTCCGTAGATGAGGAAGAGCCACTGCTGCTCGATGGTTTACTTTCAGTAGTTTCTGTATATATTGGAGAGTCACTACTGGTTGTAATATGACTTGTTTTTGAGGTAGTACTACTGGTAGGAGACGTTCCTTGGGATGAACTCATGCTAGTCTTGGTACTTGATGGTGAGCTTTCACTTGAGCCAGGAGTTTGTGTGTGACTTGGAGTTGAAGATTCACTAGTTTCTGTAGGTAAGGGAGACTCGGTGCTTCCCGTAATTGGACCTATACTAGTTTTTGAGGTAGCGCTACTGGTAGGAGACGTTTTTTGTGATGAACTCTCGGTACTTGATGGTAAACTGCTACTAGTTGCGATGGACGAGGACGAACCAGTACTGCTGCCCGGTGAACTATTGGTGGTTGTAGATGGGGTGTCAGTATGTGAGTCACCCGATGGCAAAGTTGCTGTGGTTTCTATACCAGAGGTAACTTCATCACCGGAAGTGCTTGTTGAATTGGTGTTTCTTGTTGCAGGTTTATCTGGAGAACTGGTAGTTGGTGGACTTGTCCCGGATGTTGTTCCTTTGGAAGATGTTTCAGTACTGCTGCTGGATGATGAACTACTAGAGGGTGTCGAACTTTTGCTAGTCGTGGTACTTGATGATGAAGTTTCACTCGACCCAGGAGTCTCTGTGTCAGTCGAGTCTGAAGATTTAGTAGTTTTTGTAGGTGAGCTGGAAGAGCCATTGCTGCTACCTGACGAACTCTCACTAGTCTCAGTACTTGATTGTGTACTCTCAGTAGTTTTTGTAGATAAGGATGTGGCACTACTGCTACTTGACGAACTCTTGCTAGTCTCAGTACTGGATGGTGTACTTTCAGTAGTTTCTGTATGTAAGGGAGAGTCAGTGCTGGTTGCAATAGGACCCATACTTGTTCTTGAGGTAGTACCACTGGTGGGAGACGTTTCTTGGGATGAACTCTCGCTAGTATTGGTACTTGTGTGCGAGCTCTCGCTAGTGCTAGGAGATTGTGCGTCTGTTGAGGTTGTAGCTTCAGTACTGCTTGATGCTGTACTTTCATTAGTTACTGTAGATAGGGAAGAACTCTCGCTAGTCTTGTCACTTATAGGTAAAGTTTCAGTAGTGGCGTCACTTGATGATGAAGTTTTACTAGAGCTAGGAGTCTCTGTGTCAGTTGAGTCTGAAGATTCAGTAGTTTCTGTAGGTGAGCTGGATAAGCCACTGCTGCTACCCGACGAACTCTCACTAGTCTCAGTAGTGACGTCAGTTGATGATGAAGTTTCACTAGAGCCAGGAGTCTCTATGTCAGTTGAGTCTGAAGATTCAGTAGTTACTGTAGATGAGCTGGAAGAGCCACTGCTGCTACCTGACGAACTCTCACTAGTCTCAGTAGTTGACGGTGTACTTTCACTAGTTTCTGTAGTTGACGGAGCGCCACTGCTGGTTGTAATGGGACCTGTACTTGTTTTTGAGGTAGCACTACTGGTAGGAGACGTTCCTTGGGATGAACTCTCACTAGTCTTGGTACTTGAGGGTGAATTGTCACTTGAGCCAGAAGTTTGTGCGTCTCTCGGGGTTGAAGCTTCAGTACTTGACGGTGTACTTTCATTAGTTACTGAAGACAGGGAACTTTCGCTAGTCTTGACACTTGTAGATGAAATTTCAGTAGTGACTTCACTTGATGATGAAATTTCACTAGAGCCAGGAGTCTCTGTATCAGTTGAGACTGAAGATTCAGTAGTTTCTGTAGAAAAGCTGGAAGACCCACTGCTGCTACCTGGCGAACTCTCATTAGTCTCAGTACTTGATGATGTACTTTCAGTAGTTTCTGTATGCAAGGGATGAGAGTCACTGCTGGTTGTGATGGGTCCTATGCTTGTTTTTGAGGTAGCACTACTGGTAGGAGACGTTCCTTGGGATGAACTCTCGCTAGTCTTGGTACTTGATGTTGAATTTTCACTTGAGCCAGGAGTTTGTGTGTCTCTTGGGGTTGAAGCTTCAGTACTTGATGGTGTACTTTCGTTAGTTACTGTAGATAGGGAAGAACTCTTACTAGTTTCGTCACTTGTAAGTGAACTTTCAGTAGTGGCTTCACTTGATGATGAAGTTTCAGTAGAGCCAGGAGTCTCTGTGTCAGTTGAGTCTGAAGATTCAGTAGTTTCTGTAGATGAGCTGGAAGAGCCACTGCTGCTTCCTGTCGAACTCTCACTAGTCTCAGTTGTCGATGGTGTACTTTCAGTAGTTTCTGTATATAGGGGAGAGTCACTGCTGGTTGTAATGGGACCTATACTTGTTTTTGAGGTAGAACTACTGGTAGGAGACGTTCCTTGGGATGAACTCTCGCTAGTATTGGTACTTGATGGTGAATTTTCACTTGAGCTAGGAGTTTGTGTGTCTCTTGAGGTTGAAGCATCAGTACTTGATGGTGTAGTTTCGTTAGTTACTGTAGACAGGGATGAACTGTCGCTAGTCTTACTGATACTTGTAGGTGAACTTTCAGTAGTGGCTTCACTTGATGATGAAGTTTCACTAGAGCCAGGAGTCTCTGTGTCAGTTGAGTCTGAAGATTCAGTAGTTTCTGTAGGTAAGCTGGAAGACCCACTGCTGCTACCTGACGAACTCTCACTAGTTTCAGTAGTCGATGGTGTACTTTCAGTAGTCTCTGTATATAAGGGAGAGTCACTGCCGGTTGTGATGGGACCTATACTTGTTTTTGAGGTAGAACTACTGGTAGGAGACGTTCCTTGGGATGAACTCTCGCTAGTCTTGGTACTTGATGGTGAATTTTCACTTGAGCCAGGATGTTGTGTGTCTCTTGGGGTTGAAGCATCAGTACTTGATGGTGTACTATCGTTAGTTACTGTAGACAGGGATGAACTGTCGCTAGTCTTGTCACTTGTAGGTGAACTTTCAGTAGTGGCTTCACTTGATGACGAAGTTTTACTAGATCCAGGAGTCTCTGTGTCAGTTGAGTCTGAAGATTCAGTAGTTTCTGTAGATGAACTGGAAGACCCACTGCTGCCACTTGACGAACTCTCACTAGTCTCAGTACTAGATGGTGTACTCTCAGTAGTTTCTGTATATAAGGGAGAGTCACTAGTGGTAGTGATGGGACCTATACTAGTTTTTGAGGTAGCACTACTGGTAGGAGACGTTCCTTGGGATGAACTCTCGCTAGTCTTGGTACTTGATGGTGAATTTTCACTTGAGCGAGGAGTTTGTGTGTCTCTTGGGGTTGAAGCTGCAGTAATTGATGGTGTACTTTCATTAGTTACTGAAGACAGGGATGAACTCTCGCTAGTCTTGTCACTTGTAGATAAGCTTTCAGTAGTGGCTTCACTTGATGATGAAATTTCACTAGAGCCAGGAGTTTCTGTGTCAGTTGAGTCTGAAGATTCAGTAGTTTCTGTAGATGAGCTGGAAGACCCACTGCTGCTACCTGGCGAACTCTCATTAGTCTCAGTACTCGATGGTGTACTTTCAGTAGTTTCTGTATACAAGGGAGAGTCACTGCTAGTTGTGATTGGTCCTATGCTTGTTTTTGAGGTAGCACTATTGGTAGGAGATGTTCCTTGGGATGAACTCATGCTAGTCTTGGAACTTGATGGTGTATTCTCACTTGAGCCAGGAGTTTGTGTGTCTCTTGGGGTTGAAGCTTCAGTACTTGATGGTGTACTTTCATTAATTACTGTAGACAGGGATGAACTCTCGCTAGTCTTGTCACTTGTAGGTGAACTTTCAGTAGTGGCTCCACTTGATGATGAAGTTTCACTAGAGGCAGGAGTCTCTGTGTCAGTTGAGTCTGAAGATTTAGTAGTTTCTGTAGATGAGCTGGAAGAGCCACTGCTGCTACCTGGAACTGTAGATAGGGATGAACTCTCGCTAGTCTCGTGACTTGTAGGTGCACTTTCACTTGATACGGATGAACTCTCGCTAGTCTCGTCACTTGATGAGGAAGTTTCACTAGAGTCAGGTGTTTCTGTGTCTGAAGACTCAGTAGTTTCTGTGGGTAAGCTGGAAGAGCCACTGCTGCTACCTGACGAACTCTCACTAGTCTTGGTACTCGATGTTGTACTTTCACTACTTTCTGTAGTTGTCGGAACTATACTACTTGTTGTAATGGGACCTATACTTGTTTTTGAGGTAGCACTACCGGTAGGAGACGTTCCTTGGGATGAACTCTCGCTAGTCTTGGTACTTGATGGTGAATTTTCACTTGAGCCAGGAGTTTGTGTTTCTCTTGGGGTTGAAGTTTCAGTACTTGATGGTGTACTTTCATTAGTTACTGTAGACAGAGATGAACTCTCGCTTGTCTCGTCACTTGTAAGTGAAGTTTCAGTAGTGGTGTCACTTGATGAGGAAGTTTCACTAGAGTCAGGTGTCTCTGTGTCTGAAGACTCAGTTGTTTCTGTAGGTAAGCTGGAAGAGCCACTGCTGCTACCTGACGAAGCCTCATTAGTCTCAGTACTCGATGGTGTACTTCCACTTGTTCCAGGAGTTTGTGTGTTACTTGGGGTCGAAGATTCACTTGCTCCTGTAGGTACGGAAGTGCCACTGCTGCTACCTGGTGAAGTAGTCTCGGTACTTTTTTGTGTACTTTCATTAGTTTCTGTAGATAACGGAGACTCACTGCTGGTTGTGATGGGGCCTACACTTGTTTTTGAGGTAGCACTACTGGTAGGAGACGTTCCTTGGGATGAACTCTCGCTTGTTTTGGTACTTGATGGTGAATTTTCACTTGTGCCAGGAGTTTGTGTGTCTCTTGGGGTTGAAGCTTCAGTACTTGATGGTGTACTTTCATTAGTTACTGTAGACAGGGATGAACTCTCGCTTGTCTCGTTACTTGTAGGTGAACTTTCAGTAGTGGCGTCACTTGACGAGGAAGTTTCACTAGAACTAGGTGTCTCTATGTCAGTTGAGTCTGAAGACTCAGTAGTTTCTGTGGGTGAGCTGGAAGAGCCACTGCTGCTACCTGACGAAGTCTCACTAGTCTCAGTATTCGATGGTGTACTTCCACTTGTTCCAGAAGTTTGTGTGTTACTTGGAGTCGAAGATTCACTTGCTTCTGTAGGTAAGGAAGAGCCACTGCTGCTACCTGGCGAACTCTCACTAGTCTCGGTACTTTTTTGTGTACTTTCACTAGTTTCTGTAGATAGGAATGAACTCTCGCTTGTCTCGTCACTTGTAGGTGAAGTTTCAGTAGAAGCGTTACTTGATGGGGAAGTTTCACTAGAGCCAGGTGTCTCTGTGTCAGTTGAGTCTGAAGACTCAGTTATTTCTGTAGGTAAGCTGGAAGAGCCACTGCTGCTACCTGACGAAGTCTCACTAGTCTCAGTACTCGATGGTGTACTTCCACTTGTTCCAGTAGTTTGTGTGTTACTTGGTGTTGAAGCTTCAGTACTTGATGGTGTACTTCCATTAGTTACTAGGGATGAACTCTCGCTTGTCTCGTCGCTTGTACGTGAACTTTCAGTACTGGCGTCACTTGAAGAGGAAGTTTCACTAGAACCAGGTGTGTTTGTGTCAGTTGAGTCTGAAGACTCAGTTATTTCTGTAGGTAAGCTGGAAGAGCCACTGCTGCTACCTGACGAAGTCTCACTAGTCTCAGTACTCGATGGTGTACTTCCACTTGTTCCAGTAGTTTGTGTGTTACTTGGGGTCGATGATTCACTTACTCCTGTAGGTACGGAAGAGCCACTGCTGCTTCCTGGCGAACTCTCACTAGTCTCGGTACTTTTTTGTGTACTTTCACTAGTTTCTGTAGATAGGGATGAACTCTCGCTTGTCTCGTCACTTGTAGGTGAAGTTTCAGTAGAAGCGTTACTTGATGGGGAAGTTTCACTAGAGCCAGGTGTCTCTGTGTCAGTTGAGTCTGAAGACTCAGTTATTTCTGTAGGTAAGCTGGAAGAGCCACTGCTGCTACCTGACGAAGTCTCACCAGTCTCAGTACTCGATGGTGTACTTCCACTTGTTCCAGTAGTTTGTGTGTTACTTGGGGTCGATGATTCACTTACTCCTGTAGGTACGGAAGAGCCACTGCTGCTTCCTGGCGAACTCTCACTAGTCTCGGTACTTTTTTGTGTACTTTCACTAGTTTCTGTAGATAGGGATGAACTCTCGCTAGTTTTAGTACTTGATGGTGAATTTTCACTTGTGCCAGAAGTTTGTGTGTCTCTTGGGGTTGAAGCTTCAGTACTTGATGGTGTACTTTCATCAGTTACTGTAGACAGGGATGAACTCTCGCTTGTCTCGTTACTTGTAGGTGAACTTTCAGTAGTGACGTCACTTGATGAGGAAGTTTCACTAGAACTAGGTGTCTCTGTGTCAGTTGAGTTTGAAGACTCAGTAGTTTCTGTAGGTAAGCTGGAAGAGCCACTGCTGCTACCTGACGAACTTTCACTAGTCTCAGCACTCGATGTTGTACTTTCACTACTTTCTGTAGTTGTCGAGGCGATACTGCTGGTTGTAATGGGACCTATAGTCGTTTTTGAGGTAGCACCACTGGTAGGAGACGTTCCTTGGGATGAACTCTCGCTAGTCTTGGTACTTGATGGTGAATTTTTACTTGAGGCAGGAGTTTGTGTGTCTCTTGGAGTTGAAGCTGCAGTAGTTGATGGTGTACTTTCATTAGTTACTGTAGATACAGAAGAACTCTCGCTGTTTTCGTCACTTGTAGGTGCATTTTCAGTAGTGGCGTCACTTGATGAAGTTTCACTAGAGCCAGGGGTCTCTGTGTCAGTTGATTCTGAAGAATCAGTAGTTTCGGTAGGTAAGCTGGAAGAGCCACTGCTGCTACCTAACGAAGTCTCACTAGTCTCAGTACTCGATGGTGTACTTCCACTTGTTCCAGGAGTTTGTGTGTTACTTGGGGTCGAAGATTCACTTGCTCCTGTAGGTACAGAAGAGGCACTGCTGCTACCTGGTGAACTCTCACTAGTCTCGGTACTTTTTTGTGTACTTTCACTAGTTTCTGTAGATAACGGAGACTCACTGCTAGTTGGGATGATACTTGGTTTTGAGGTGGCGCTACTGGTAGGAGACGTTGCTTGGGATGAACTCTCGCTAGTCTTGGTAGTTGATGGTGAATTTTTACTTGAGCTAGGAGTTTGAGTGTCTCTTGGGGTTGAAGCTTCAGTACTTGATGGTGTACTTTCATTAGTTACTGTAGGTAGGGATGAACTCTCGCTAGTCTCGTTACTTGAAGTGATCTCACTTGATGTTGATGCTGCACTAGAGCTAGGGGTCTCTGTGTCAGTTGAGTCTGAAGATTCAGTAGTTTCTGTAGGTGAACTGGAAGAGCCACTGCTGCTAACTGACGAACTCTCACTGGTCGTAGTACTCGATGGTGTACTTTCAGTAGTTTCTGTATGTAAAGGAGAGTTACTGCTGGTTGTTATAGGACCTGTGCTTGGTTTTGAGGTAGGTGACGTTTCTTGGGATGAAGCCTCGCTAGTCTTGGTACTTGACGGTAAAGTTTCACTAGAGCCAGGCGTTTGTGTGTCACTTGTGGTTGAAGATTTACTAGTTTCTGTAGGTAACGAAGAGCCACTGCTGCTACTTGACGAACTCTCACTAGTCTCAGTACTCGATGGTGTACTTCCACTTGTTCCAGGAGTTTGTGTGTTACTTGGGGTCGAAGATTCACTTGCTCCTGTAGGTACAGAAGAGGCACTGCTGCTACCTGGTGAACTCTCACTAGTCTCGGTACTTTTTTGTGTACTTTCACTAGTTTCTGTAGATAACGGAGACTCACTGCTAGTTGGGATGATGCTTGGTTTTGAGGTGGCGCTACTGGTAGGAGACGTTGCTTGGGATGAACCCTCGCTAGTCTTGGTAGTTGATGGTGAATTTTCACTTGAGCTAGGAGTTTGAGTGTCTCTTGGGGTTGAAGCTTCAGTACTTGATGGTGTACTTTCATTAGTTACTGTAGGTAGGGATGAACTCTCGCTAGTCTCGTTACTTGAAGTGATCTCACTTGATGTTGATGCTGCACTAGAGCTAGGGGTCTCTGTGTCAGTTGAGTCTGAAGATTCAGTAGTTTCTGTGGGTGAACTGGAAGAGCCACTGCTGCTAACTGACGAACTCTCACTGGTCTCAGTACTCGATGGTGTACTTTCAGTAGTTTCTGTATATAAAGGAGAGTTACTGCTGGTTGTTATAGGACCTGTACTTGGTTTTGAGGTAGGTGACGTTTCTTGGGATGAACCCTCGCTAGTCTTGGTATTTGACGGTAAAGTTTCACTAGAGCCTGGCGTTTGTGTGTCCCTTGGGGTTGAAGATTCACTAGTTTCTGTAGGTAACGAAGAGCCACTGCTGCTACCTGACGAACTCTCACTAGTTTCAATACTTGATTGTGTACTTCCAGTAGTTTCTGTAGATGAAGGAGACTCACTGCTGATTGTAGTGGGACCTACACTTGGTTTCGAGGTAGCAGACGTTTCTTGTGATGAACTTTGGCTAGTCTTGGTACTTGATGGTGAACTTTCTCTAGTGGTAGGAGTTTGTGTGTTACTTGGGGTCGAAGATTCACTTGATGGTAAGGAAGAGCCACTGCTGCTACCCGACGAACTCTCATTAGTCTCAGTACTTGATGGTGCACTTTCACTAGTTTCTGTAGATAACGGGGAGCCACTGGTTATTGTTATGGGACCTATACTTGTTTTTGAGGTAGCTGCACTGGTAGAAGACGTTCCTTGGGATGTACTTTCGCTAGTCTTGATACTTGATGGTGTACTTTCACTAATGGCAGGAGTTTGTGTGGCGCTTGGGGTTGAGGATTCACTAGTTCCTGTAGGTAAGGAAGGGCCACTGCTGATTGTAATAGGAACTAGAGTTGTTTTTGGGGTAGCTTCACTGGTAGAAGACGTTTTTTGTGACGAACTCCCGGTGCTTGATGGGAAATTGCTACTAGTTGCGATGGACGAGGACGTACCAGTACTGCTGCCCGGTGAACTATTGGTGGTTGTAGATGGGGTGTCAGTATGTGAGTCACCTGATGGCAAAGTTGCTGTGGTTTCTATACCAGAGGTAACTTCATCAGCGGAAGTGCTTGTTGAATTGGTGTTTCTTGTTGCTGGTTTATCTGGAGAACTGGTGGTTGGTAGACTTGTTCCTTTAGAAGATGTTTCAGTACTGCTGCTAGATGATGAACTACTAGAAAGTGTCGATGATGCAGTAGTACTGCTAGAAGCAGAGCTCGAGCTGCTTGGAGCTTTCGACGTTGAGCTTTCGCGAGTAGTTGTATCATGGCTAGACTGGGTTGTTCCAGATGGAGTAGTAACGTGCTTTTTAGTGGTCACTGTAGAGGTGCTCTCTGAAGGACATTCAGTGGTGGAACTAGTTTCTGAGGGCGCTACGCAAGGTTTGTCGTTGGCAAAGGCACATATTAGTCCTTCAGGACATTGGAAAACGGTCTGGCTTGAAAAAGCAAGTGAAATCGGGCCGTAGGGTGCGCATTTCAGAAACGATGTTGAATTTACACAATGGAAGTATTTTTGGAAGCAGTTTATGATCGTTTCGGGTTTTTCGCACCTTGCACATGCCTGAAAAAAAAAAAGAATTTGTTAACAAAAAAGGCTAAAGTTTAAAATGTGAAAATCTTTTCCAAAATAGAAGTCGGTATCTACTTTGGAGTAATTCAAAATGACAAAATATGAATTATTGAATACTTGAGAAAATAGATACGTCGGGTTGACATAACTATTTCTTTTCAAATTGGTAATGGGATTATACAAAGGGCGTAATGAACTCTAAGGTGTGTTATGGAACAGTCACACAACTATCCTCGAAACCTTTTTTGTATGAACAAGTTATAAATAGTTCTTCCTAATTTTGGCGAGATATTTTGAATTCATGAGTATAGTTATATCTGGGCCGGTATTCTCGTTCTCGAAAACGCTCACCGCTTTTAAGTCGCTCGGCACTTCTAATGTAAATTCAAATGAAAAGTGCCAAGCGACTAAAAAGCGGTGGGCGTTTCCGAAAACGAGAATACCGGCCCTGGACTTTGGTGCCGCTTTCCACATATACTAGAACTAGAACTGAAAAAATAACATAAGAAATCGTCAAGTAGCTATATTTTATAGTGCCTACAGTATGAAGAAATACATGATAAGCTTCAATAGAACCGCTGTTCAGGTTTTCTGAGACCTAGTTGTTGTGTAATAAATGCAAAGAGGTTCAAAAAATATCAAGCCGAATGACAAACAAACCAAACTATGGAAACATTAAAAAAAAAAAATCGGTAAATAATTTCGGGTATTGATCAATAAACCACTCTTTAATGGCTGGTAGTGAAACCCTTCTTTCATCTAAATTAAATTATTATTAGGTATATTGATTGTCGGTAGATTTAGTAGTTTGGGTTAGGAAAACGCTTACAATCTCCCGAAAAAATCACCGTTCACGGGTGAAAACTATGAGGCTTTATTACTATTTTTTAATAAAGCCATGGAAATGGAGAGTATGAAGCAAATACCTATGAGCAACTTTGTCATGAGGGAAAAATAGCGAACTAGTTAAACGATAAGATGAATATATGAAAAATGACTAAAGCAAATTTTCTCATTTACCTGCACATTAACATTTGTAACAGTAGCTGACAAAACCAATAAAATCGCGACGTTTAGTCGCATAATTGCATTATTATAACTTACTAGACACAATTAAGAATAAATACTAAAGCAGCTGAAAGGTTTCTTCTTAAATTTGTTACCGCAAAGTAAACCTTTTCTTTTGTGGCCCATTGTTTCGATAATTCCTTTGTAAATATTTCTTACAAAATGATTATTTTGATTGCCGAGCGGATTTTGTTTCTGTATTGTGCACCATAATCCCCCCTATCGTATAAGTATATTCGACGAATATGACGTTTAATCAAAAGCTGTTGACAGTTTTGATGACAATAGTTATTTGTTTTACTAGGCAGAAAAGTACTAGAATTAATGAATTTAATGCCGCGCCGGCTGGCGTTTCAGAAAAATAGCCAAGGCATGTGTGATGTGAATGAACATATTTTTCCCGAATTTGTTTCAATTTGACGCATCCTAATCGTCTTTTTTATATTTATTAATTGCATTTCATTCATCAATATCCAAATAATTAAATTATTTCAACAAAGGTAGCTTGCTCTTTGTTATTATGTTTATCGCTGATGACGTTTTTCAAGTAACTTTCCGAAAGAAATCTAACTGGAAGTGAGGATGATGTAGCTAGATGTTATGATGATTGACGGAATCGATATAGGTACCTAGCTTTACTTTGGTTTCAATTTGATCAGTGGAGACCATTTTGATACACATAAATAAAGCATTACTAAGAACCTATATAAAATGCAGTGTTGCCAATGACCCGATAATTATCGAATTCTACCATAATTTTGACTACGATTCAATACCTAATCGATAATGACAAGCTAATCTACCATAATTTATTGAAACTACAATTTTAATAGAGACATTTCAAATTTCTAGTTAAAAATTAAAAATTTATTAAAAAATTGAAGATGGTTGTTGATTTTGAGTGTTTTGACGTACTGGTGCGAGCACCAAACACTAGTCCCAGATTGAGCCAAAGTTTCATGCCAATAACTTTACTTACTGGTTTCCAAAATATGGCCCTTTAAAATATTTGAAAATCAAATTCCCATGCATACCCCTTTGGAAAAATTCGACTTTTTAAATTTTAAGGTTTTGCAATGTTTGACTTTACCAATCAAAAGAGGAGATCAAAATTAGGGAAAAAGCATTTTTGCAACTTTGTTTTAAAGCCTTGCAAAAAAATAAAAACGATTTTTGCAATTTTTAGGCTCAAAAAAATTCAATAATCTGACATTCTTTCACAAAGTTGCTGATTACTCGGTTATTATCGTAACAAATAAATGTAAAATTATATATTCTGAATCAGAATTAAATTATCTTCAAGATAAAGTAAGATTCAATTCTATATCTTAAATACTTCTGAAGATATTGAGGCTCAAAGTTGAAACTTTACCTCAAATTTTGCAAAAGCTTCCAGGCGGATTATCTTGAAAACGAAGCCCTTGGGCTCGGAGTCGTAAATAACCTTTTTTGTAGCCCTTATTAAGAGCTACAATTGGGCAAAACATTCATGCCAATAGCTTCACTGGTTTCCAAAATACAAGCATTTGAAATATTTGAAAATCCAATTTCCATGCATTGGAAAAGTTCGAATTTTTAAATTTTCAGTTTTTCGAATTTTTGACTTCACCAATCGAAAAAAGAGGTTAATATTAGTGAAAAAGCATTTTCGCAACTTTCCTTTTCGGGTTTTAAAGCCTTGTTACAAAATAAAAACGATATTTGCAATTTTTGGGCTCAAAACATTTCAATAATCGGATATTCTTTCTCAAAATTGCTGATTACTCGGTTATTATTATAACAAATATGATGTAAAATTATATATTCTGAATCAAAATTAAATTATCTTCAAGATAAAGTAAGATTCAATTCTATATCTTAAATACTTGTGAAGATATTGAGGCTCAAAGTTGAAACTTTACCTCAAATTTTGCAAAAGCTTCAAAGCCGATTATCTTGGAAACGAAGCCCTTGGGCTCGAAGTCTTGAATAACCTTTTTTGAAGTTCTTATTGAGAGCTACAATTGCCAGAGTCCCAGCTAGAACCCGAAAAATGAAAATAGAGATAAAAAGTCAAAAATTTGACAGAAACTTTTTTTGATAATTTTTCTTGGAATCTGATAATTTTGTTCTCAAATCCTGATAATTTTAAATTTGACATCTGACAACACTGAAAATGAAAAACAAATTCAAATATACTAAGAGTTAACATTAAAAAATATTTTGAATTTAAAACTTCAGCTCAACTAGAATAGATGAAATTCTTGGTCTTTGAGGAATATTAAAATGATGGGGCCTCATTCTTGCAATTATAGGTAAACTGCACCGATTCTTTTGGAAGTGTATAGTATAGTAAAAAAACCTCGTCAGGATTACTTGATCTCTTATATGCTTTCCTTGAATGATCAATTCAGTCCTTGAAAATAGTGAATTAATAATACAGTTTTGTATCCTTATTCACTAACATAAAATAGTACTAAAGTTTATACTTATAGGTAACTACCTCCTAATTTGATTATCTTATTCCTGTATTGAATGTAAATTAATTAACCCCTTCATTTAAAATAGGATCTCTGAAAAAATATGAAAAAGATTGGACCTAACATGAACGTTGGGCACTTAACGGTAATTAGAACATAACAGGCCGAAAATAACAGTAATCTGTTATGACAAACTCTGCTCGATTCAGCAAAGGCTTGACTTGTTGGTTGCCGAAAATATGAGTCTGAAGGATGAAAATACCTTACTTAATACCAAGGTTAGCAAGCTTGAATCTGATGTGGCCTTTCTCAAAGACCACCAGGTTTCAGTGATGCCTTCTGATAACTTGGATCGACAGGCTAGGCTGGGAAATGTTATGATTTTTGGACAAAAGGAGTTACAATCCCAGGAAACAGACGAGCGCTCTGAGCTTGATTTGGGCATTGTGAAAGACATAGTCAATGTGACATGCCCAGATAATCCTGTTATGATCACAAAGGTTTTTCGACTGGGACGTATTAACAATGGAAGGCCAAGACCACTTAAGGTCGTCTTCTCTACACAGCAAGATGTGCTTACAGTAATCCAGGGTTCAGAACATTTAAGAAGTAATGAAGCATACAAGCAGGTTGCAGTCAGTTTTGACCGAACTCCCAAGCAAATTGCCGACTATAAAAGTTTAAAGGAACAATCGAATTCAAGAATAGCTCGAGGCGAAACAAACCTGAAAATCCGTTATGTAAAAAGGGTTCCTAAAATTATTGAAAATTTAAACAGTTAGTGCCCAACAATTCAAACTGTTCAGAGAGCCTTGTTATTGGCTATCAAAATGTTCGAGGACTTAATTCAAAGATTGACACTTTCTATTCGTCTGTTAGCGATAGTGAGTTTGATGTGGTAGAATTATCTGAAACCTGGCTTAGTTCTAATGTGAATGATAGTGAACTATTTAATAATGATTATCAAGTATTTAGGAAGGATCGGGATCTTGCTGGAACTGGCCGTGAGAGTGGAGGTGGTGTTTTGCTAGCTATAAAAAATACTGTGAAAAGTGAGGCCATTCAAATGCCATTTTTAAAGGAGAACTTCCCAGAAATTGACTTTCTTATGAACCGATGTGTGATATCCCATAGAATATTGTTTGTTTTAGTTATTCATATTCCGCCATCCTTACCTATAGAAACTGTTGAATTATTTTTTAATCATTAGAACAATTTGAGCAATTATTTGATAAAAATATCTTGGCTTTGGGAGATTTTAATAATCCAAGTTTTGTTGATTTTGACCAGAATGATAGATACTTTACTAGTATTAACAATTTCATGAATTTTTTTGAACTTAAGCAGTACAACAGTGTACGTAATTGCTCAGATCGTTTGTTGGATCTTGTTGTGACAAATATAGATTGTAGCGTTGTTCACAATGCCAGTCCCTTTGTCAAAGAGGATAAATACCACCCTGCT